CACATGTTTAGATTCAGATCATGCTCTAGTGCGAGCACGTATCTGTCTGCGTCTTACTGGACGTAGGAAAGACACTGCAGGGAAGCCTCTAGGGGTTCTACTTAATGATAGGCAAGCTAAGAATATATTTCAGGAACAACTAGAAAAACAGTTAGGCAGCCATGTAAGTCGTGTCCACCCCGAGGCAGCGTGGAATGACATCCGAAAAGCTGTGGAAACAGCAGTGATATCCGCTAGTAAGGTAAACCATAACGTTAGGGAGAAACAATGGATCTCGGTAGCATCTACCGTACTGATAGATGCTCGTAAACTCATCCCACCTGGCTATGAACATAACGAAGAGCGGAGTCAACTTAAGCACAGGCTTATAAGAAGCCTACGTAATGATCGTGAACAGTGGTGGGTAGCGAAAGCAAGAGAGATGGAAAAGGCAGCGGCAATAGGTAACAGTAGGCAGCTATTCAGACTCGTTAAAGAAACCGGTATTAGGAACCCGAATATCAGTGAAACCATCTCAGATAAAGATGGGAATATCATTCATTCTCAATCCAGGAGATTGGATCGATGGGCAGAACACTTTAGGGATCAGTTCAACTGGCTTTCAGACACACTTCAATTACTCACGATCCCCAGTCGTCCTGAATGGCAAATTGATGTAAGTCCTCCAACCCTCTGTGATGTTGAAAAAGCTATAGGAAATCTGAAGCGAGGGAGAGCAGCAGGTCCTGACAGGTTGACCTTTGAGATTTTTAAGTATTAGCTGTGTCTCGCGCTGAATCGTAACATGATATGGTGCGAATGCATGACCGAACGCCTTGAGTTAAACAAGACCACATAAAACAATGTGGTCAGCATTCAATGTCGAACACTTAAAATGCTATTGATTTTGGGGAATTATTTACAGCTACAAAGTTAAACATGTATTTTTTCACTGTAGCAGAACTCCTCTGGGGGTTACTGCCGGTCCCAAGCCCGGGTAAAGGAGGAGAGTTGAGCATGGGGTTAGCGACCCCATCCCGTAGAAAATCAACTCGCTAAAAAAACACTAACCAGAAAAAACCATTCAAACCATTCAAACTCTGCCCTGGGAGTAGAAGGAATAATTATGACGTCTCATGATGAAAGCCGAGTTCCTTCGGAAGTCATGAGGCCGATGCACCTTCTTACAACCAGAGCGACAATTTTTATGGGTACATGGAATGTCCGAACAATGTGGGAGACCGGAAGAGTTTTCCAAATTGCTGCAGAAATGAGAAAATACAACGTGGAGGTTCTTGGAATCAGCGAAACACATTGGACGCAGGTTGGAAAACAACGACTGTCTTCAGGAGAACTTCTGTTATACTCCGGTCATGAAGAAGAAAATGCCCCACATACACAAGCAGTTGCTCTGAAGCTATGCAAAGAAGTACAAAATGCACTTATTGGATGGGAATCTCATGGACCAAGGATCATCAAAGCCTCCTTCAAAACAAAGAGAGAGGGCATTACAATGAACGTCATCCAATGCTATACGCCTACCAACGACTACGATGAAGACGCTAAAGACTAATTCTACGATAGGCTGCAGTCGATCTTCGAGAAGTGCCCAACCAAGGACCTGACAATTCTGATGGGAAATCTCAATGCCAAGGTTGGAATGGTCAACACTGGATACGAAGACGTCATGGGACGACATGGACTGGGAGAAAGGAAGGAAATTCGGGAGAGACTTGCAAACCTATGTGCATTCAACAAATTGGTTATAGGCGGCACAATATTCCCACACAAGCGCAATTACAAAGCTACATGGATCTCACCGGATCACACTACACATAATCAAATCGACCATATCTGCATCAACAAAACGTTCAGGAGGACGATGGAGGATGTGAGAACCAGGAGAGGAGCTGATATAGCATCCGATCACCATTTGCTGGTCGCCAAGATGAAACTAAAACTCAAGAAGCACTGGACAACGGCGCGGACAACATCACAAAAGTTTAATACGGTCTTTCTTCGAGATGCTGACAAACTCAACAAATTCAACATAGCCCTCAGCAACAGGTTCGAAGCCTTTCATGATCTACTCAATGGAGAGGGGACTACCATGGAGAGCAACTGGAAAGGTATCAAGGAGGCAATCGTTTCAACATGTCAGGAGGTTCTGGGCCAAAAGAAGCACCATCACAAGGAATGGATCACTGTTGGTACATTGGATAAAATTGAAGAAAGGAGGAACAAGTAGGCAGCAATCAATACCACCCGAACAAGAACAGAAAAAGCCAAGGCACAAGCCAAATACACAGAAGTAAACAAGCAAGCGAAGAGGAGCATCAGAACCGACAAACGTAAATATGTGGGAGATTTAGCAATGACGGCGGAAAAGGCTGCAAGAGACAATTGTATGACTCAACAAAGAAACGAGAACGACTAGTGAAAAGCAAGGAAGGCAAGGTAATCACCAATATTGAAGAACAACGGAACAGGTGGGTAGAACACTTCAAAGAACATTTTTGAATCGACCAGCTCCACTGAACCCACTCAACATCGAAGTAGCACCCACGGACCTCCCTATCAATGCTCACCCACCAATAATTGAAGAGATCGGCATGGCCATCAGACAAATCAAGAGCGGCAAAGCAACGGGACAAGACAACATTCCAGCAGAGGCACTGGAAGCAGATGTAGCAGCAACTGCAAATATATTCCACATTCTCTTCCGTAAGATTTGGGACGAAGAACAAGTACCAATAGACTGGAAAAAAGGACTTCTGATCAAGATACCAAAGAAAGGCGATCTCAGCAAGTGCGATAACTACAGGGGCATCACTCTCCTCTCAATACCAGGAAAAGTCTTCAACAGAGTATCGTTAAACAGGATGAAGGATTCCGTGGACGCCCAACTTCGAGATCAACAAGCTGGATTTCGTAAGGATAGATCGTGCACAGATCAAATCGCAACTCTACGTATCATTGTGGAACAATCAACCGAATGGAATTCACCACTCTACATCAACTTCATCGACTACGAGAAGGCATTTGATAGCGTGGACAGGACGACACTATGGAGGCTTCTTCGACACTACGATGTGCCTGAGAAGATAGTCGATATCATACGGAACTCCTATGATGGACCAAACTGCCAAATCGTCCACAGATGACAACTCACCGACTCGTTTCAAGTAAAGACCGGTGTTAGACAAGGTTGCTTACTCTCACCCTTTCTCTTTCTCCTGGTCATCGACTGGATCATGAAGATGTCAACATCTGGAGGAAAGCACGGGATACAGTGGATAGGCAGGATGCAGCTTGACGATTTAGACTTCGAGGATGATCTGGCTCTTCTATCACAAGCGCAACAACAAATGCAGGAGAAAACGACCAGTGTAGCAGCAGCCTCAGCAGCAGTAGGTCTCAATATAAACAAAGAGAAAAGCAAGACTCTCCGATATAATACAACATGCATTAATCAAATTACACTTGATGGAGAAGCTTTGGAAGATGTGGAAACCTTTACATATCTCCCCAGCATCATTGATGAACACGGTGGATCAGATGCAGATGTGAGGGCGAGGATCGGCAAAGCAAGAGCAGCATAATTACAACTGAAAAACATCTGGAGCTCAAAACAATTGTCAACCAACACCAAGGTTAGAATTTTCAATACAAATGTCAAGACAGTTCTATTGTATGGGGCGGAGACGTGGAGAACTACGAAAGTCATTATCCAGAAGATACAAGTGTCTATTAACAGTTGTCTACGCAAGATACTTCAGATCCGATGGACAGACACTATAAGCAACAAGTTACTATGGGAGACAACAAAGCAGATTCCAGCGGAGGAAGAAATCAAGAGAAAGCGCTGGAAGTGGATTGGGCACACCTTGAGGAAATCACCTAATTGTGTTACAAGACAAGCCCTCACATGGAATCCTGAAGGTCAAAGGAGAAGAGGAAGTTCAAAGAACACATTACGCCGAGAAATAGAGACAGACATGAGAAGAATGAACAAGAATTGGATAGAACTAGAAAAGGAAGCCCAGGACAGAGTGGGTTGGAGAAAGCTGGTAGGCGGCCTATGGTCCATTGGGAGTAACAGGCGTAAGTAAGTAAAAGCAGAACGACCGTACTTTATTCACGATTTACTCATCGATAATTACACCTCATGAGAAAACTCTTCACCTATACTTGAGAATTCATTTATCTATAATCTTTTTAAATTTAGGCAAGCGAGCCTAATAGTGGTTGTAATGGTTGGTACCACTTGAGTTGACAATGTAAACCAGACATTGGCAAGTTATATTACAAGGATAAGGATATTTATATTATTGTCAAAAGGAAAAGGATTATCAGATGCAAACATAAAAGTGAGGATTGGCGAACTAGCTTACAACTGAAGAGGAAATTAGGAAAAGATTCTGAAAGTGGACTAGACATACATTACAGAAATCACCTAACGGGCATCATGAGGCAAGCGCTAATTTGGAATACTGAAGGGAAACGGGAAGGAGGAAAATCAGGAAACACAATGCATCGGAAATCGGAAGTAGACAAGAAAAGAACGATCTTTCCTTAATATCTAACGAGATCAGCGTAAAAGCCGAGCGTCTGAGACGTTATTTACTTCGGAAGGTTACTTACCTGTACAATGGTCTGACTGGTTAAACGAGGAGAGTGTATGACCATCACGCTGACAGTAGGATATAAAATGCCATTGTTTCAAGACCAATTATATCTGGTTACTTTTTTCCGGTGAGATTTAGAGGTACGTGTTGTAACCTGTTAGTAAGGCCCAAAGATGGTCTCAAGAGAGTACGATCCTGGAATACATCACGCTCACGCTCACGCTCAGAAGAAAGCAATTTATAATAATTGTCTCATTCGTTATCACGGAAGTGGCCCGATAGTTTGAACCATTTTATCTGAAATCTGGCTTTCGAGAATGAAAAGAAAGTTAAAAGGAATTATTTGATTTCCCATGACTTTCCATGAATTCATGTAGATATTGAGTACTGGATTAGCGCGTGAACCGAAAATAACGTTACTGCCCCTTAACCAGTGTTTGCAGGTGCTTTACTTTGACTGGACTACTTATATAATTTATTGTAGCAGAAAAGTTTAGGCTAGGTAAAGTGCGATTTTCCATGCGTCAAACTCGTGATCACTTGGAGCTTAAGGTGTGTATTAATACTCGTATAAAGATGTTTTAGGCCTTCATCCAACGCTGTCGGCGGGCAGATCTTGATAAACTTATCAAGTTAACCAATCTTCCTCGTGGAGGCCTAAAGCAGGATATTCAATTAAGACTCATTTCTTACCTGGATCAGGATCCTTCAACAGAATTCCTTTCCGCCCTTAATGAACTGAGAGGACTGGTGTATAATCCTGTCAGTAAGTTTTTTCCTTGTCTTCAGTGTTTTTGTTCTCACGGGAATCTATTAAAGGTGGCCGAATCAATTAGTTATTTGTGCTCGCATTCTGTTTTTAGTTCCATGACTTGCAAATTTGTTTTAACTACATATTTGAACTAAGAATTCTCATGCAGCTAATCCAAAGCTTAGTGTAGGACCGATTCCCTAAATATAGTATCTATGTGACAGTGTATCTTACTTCTCCAAACAACCAATACTTAACGTGCTATCAGACTCATCGAAATGTATTACTATGTTTATCCCAATACGGTCGAATGCATTTACACTAAGCTATTCTGAGAAGAGTCTTTTTATGTGAGAAAGCAAGGTTTTCTGTATCTTCACACCTTGTCAAAAAGTTTGTTTAAAGTTGCTGATTAATGAAAGTAACATGATATAGGTATTGCCACCAGCCTATAACGTTCTTTTTCATCTGTAGTATCTAGAAAGCATTCCCATGGTCACACTTCTTTTTAGAATATAAGGTGACCGTATGTTTTATTGTTATGCTCCAGTGACACTTTGCTATATGCTTGGCTCTTATTGTAACCACTTTCAAAGTTCAGGGCAGATGTCCCTCGAGTTCTAATCAAAAGTCACAAACGTGAACCCCTCCTCCCATATTTAGTTTGGACAGATAATCGATACCATCGGATTCCTCACGAAAGTTATAGATCGAAGTTAAGTACATAAATCTGTACTCGGTAAGTAGATTGCACTAAAATTTACAGCGTCAACAAAGTAAGTCGTTTATCACATGTTCGGGGGAGTTGTAAATGTAGCATCCTACTCATCTAGGTCTGTTGACAAATTTGGCCTATTGTTTGCTTCATTTTAAGGAAAGCTGACAGTATTTGACCATAGATTTTCGGAGATTTTCAAAAATCATTAAAAGTTAACGTGCGCACCTTTTAAAACCAGATATACAACATATTTCTTTTGTTCTAAGTAGCTCAATGGTTCTAGAAGTGTTACCTAATAATTTTGGAGACTTGGAGATACGATCGCCAGTTTTATTTCAAAGTGAAATAATAGACCTACTGACCTGAAGATCTCATGATAATAGTCTGTGGCTTCATGTCTTAATCATTGACTTTTAGGTATGGAGCAAAAGTTGATGTCTGTTTCTTAACCCATGTTGGTAAGTATGAAGAGTTTACCAAGGGCTTTGAAATTTCGTGCTTCCAAACCACTAGTGCACATAAGTTTTGGTATCATGGAGAGAAGCTGCTGACCTTTATTTGGGCTCTCGGTAATAATATTCCAATTACGAACAAGGAGTATAAATAGGTTGATTTACATAGTAATGCTTACAAACCATAATTATTTCACTGTGAATCAGTTGTTGTACATCCACGAAATTATAATAATATGCCAATGGAGATAGTCAAAGATTTGTGCATCAAAGTAGTTTTATGACTCCTAGTGGTAGTGTGAGATGAAATAGATGGTCAGAGTGAAATAGCCCGATTCGTACTACTTTTAGCATTGTTGCAATGCTAGTCCAGCTATAATGTTCGGATGCACAACTTGTCTTTCCACACATTCTTAGCCTACTTCTGTCAAAACTAGTCTTCGAGCTAAGGATGTTTTTTAGTTTCAGTTCAATAGCTTTGTTCGAGGGATGACATACGTTTAGTGGCAACACATTTTGAACAATGCTCAGGTTCAGTACCAGGTATTTAGGCTTAGTAGAGATGTGGAATCAGTGACTACTGCCGTCTTAGGACACTGTCTTTGGTTTCTTGGTTTGATTTTGCAGATATCGTTCAAGCAGTTTTCGTACATCATGTTATTTGGTGACATCAGTATTGACGAAATTGGAGAAGAGTTTAGTTTATGATATAGCACCGTCAAATGACTTAGTTGTTCTGGGTTAGGGTCGAGTACATTGGCATATACTTGGTCACATAATTAGAATATTTATTTGGGATTTTTGTGCTCGAATTATAGATTAGCAATTGAAAACTTAATTGACCTGCAACGAATGAGTAAAATGATCTCCCAGCATTATTTTCGATTTATAACTGAGTTTTTAAACAGTTGGATGAAAAGAATAATTAAATCTAAACAAGTATCCTGTTGTCTTCTGAAAAGTCTTGTGATTGTATTAGTATGTCTCTGATTTTCATATATATTCGGTTGTATCTAACGTTTTCCTGTATTCCGAATTTATTTTTTATCATTAAAAGTGATATAATTCGTGTTTCAGATTTCCAGTTTCAACAGTCAAATGGAAATTTCGACCCCCACTGTCCTTCGAGCGATATTCCTGCCTCGCTTATGTATTTAAGGGACTCTACCATTCGTTGTCCTACAGAATCGTCAAAGAATAGTGGAGGACCAAATTCATGTTTGACAGGTACAAAAATAAGCTGTTCATTACAGAAAGAGCAGTTGAATCATAACCCATACGTTGTACAACCGAATATAAATGTTTTTGGGCAGTCATCTCCAGATGAATTAGATTTGACGAAAAACAGGCAACAAAAATCTCAGCAAACAGATTCTTCCAATCAACTCCCACAAAGTTCATTGTTTCCGGGGAATCCTGTGATTAACCCATCAGTTTGGTCATCTTGGGAGTCTGTTAGAAAATTATTACCTGAAAACCGAGTGACGATATCTCAGTCTTGTACATCTGGAAAGTCCCAAAATTTAAGCAGTTTTAATCCTCACTCTCAAACCAATGTTGCCTCTTCTCTCCCTATTCTATCCAATTCAGCTATGTCAGATGGGCATTCGAAAATAAATGTGCACTCTGAATGTCCTCAGAGTTCAATCCACACGTACAGTACTGACTCAAGAAAAGCTACTGTCACACACAAAATAGGTCAACTTATAACACTGGCTGGAGGTAAGCTGCAGACTATCGAAATATTTTTTTATTAGTATTTTTAGTCGCATGCATGTGGATCAGATTTCGTTGCTTTTAATTTGTACATAGTCATTTGTGGACTTTTTTTATTTCTACTCTCCGAAAATTTAAAGTACCTTAAAATCTAGTATTTATTGTTTATTTTAATAGGGAAACTATTTACATAGTTCAGGTCAAAGATATATACTAGATAAATTGCAATTACATATCTTTAAAGAAATCACAAGAAGGTAATATATTATGGAGAATTATGCTCCTAAGTATAGCCAGAAACAGATTTTATATCCACGTGAAGCATTCATTTCTGAAGAAAGCAATCACAAAGATTTGAGCAGAATTACATGAATTTATTTTACTTCGTTTGGCTCTCGTCAGCTACTTACAACCTGTGATATTTAAAAATCATAATTATAAAATGGGTTTAAATTACTTGAAAGGGCATAGTTGGAAGTTACTTTAAAGACATCGGTATAATGTAGCAAGGGTATAAATAAATTTAATGAACTGAATAAAGTATTGTAAATACATACATTATATAAAAAAGTTCTATAACGTTAGTAGTAACAAAGGTTCATGGGGCTAGAAACAAGTGGTTACATAGTGAGTAAACGCTGATAATAAATAAGAATGAGTAAATCTCAGTTAATTAAAATAAGATTAATAATCTAGATGGCAGTTAAAATAAAAAAAATAACGATGTGATTAATTGAGAGTTGAACAAAATTTTATGATGCAATGAAGGAATATTTGCCACCAATAGAAGGAAAGATTACCAACCATCTCCTTTTCAACATATAAATTAGGTTTCGGACGCCCTATAGCAACGGTTTCAGATACCTTCATAAGGCGTGAGCTAAATTGTTTGTTAACCACATTGATAGATTTCAAGTTATTTTATTTATTTATTTAGGCACATAAATATTGGTACAAACGGGTACCAGATACATATGCCTCATATAAATCTCATTTGATTTGTGTGAGGGCTGGGATACTTCCCAGGTGCCCAAACCGAAGCAGGTGGTTTTCTTAGGGGGTCACACCCGGAGCCTTTGACCCAAAGGTCTAATCCACAAGGCAGTGGAGCATCGTGAGGAGGTGCAGTTCCACAGTAGCCGGTGACCAATAATTGGTTCATACGCCATTTTTCCCTCAGGATACTGGAGCCCATGTGCACCATTGGTTTGGAATCATGGTTTTTCAACTTCCGCAGATGGACCCTCCGTGTCCACCAACCCGGTTAAAGCGCCGGACATTCGCTTTTCGTCCTCTCACTTTCGTAAGCAACACCCCCGCCACGAGAAGGCAGTGAGTATGACTTCCATGACAGAGACTTTATACGTGTGGCCATGTGAGAGCCTCTCGAGAGGGAAAGTGGACTCTCCCTACTGTCGGCCGTATCAGGGCGTTTGGGGTTGATCTTATGTCTTGTATCCAAGAAAAGCTTAGTAATTGCACTGTTTCTCTCTTGTTCGTTCATTTACTAAAGACTCGTCATACAACGTTCTGTGTAGTCAACTTTGATATATATAGTGTATGTGTGAGGGCTAGTAATACGTTAGTAACCAGTTGCCCGAACCAAAATAATTAGTATGGTATTCAAACCTGCGTCTTTTAAGTTGGAAGCTGAGTTTGTTGACCACTATGTTACTTCTCCTAAACTTAAATTACGTCTTACTATTTATGTTGTATAATAATTTGTCAATATAAGGTTTGGGGTTTGTATAAACTTGTAACGGGTTTCTGTTACCACACAACTACGTGCTTGAACAGATAAATTATCCTGATTATTTCCATCTATCCTATAACCCATGTATTTCCCCTTGCTAATTACTTTCTTGTAACCTCTAGGTTGCTTTATAGATGTGTATATGTTAGTATGTATGTGCCTGTATACGTTTTTTATACTCACAAGGACTGAGTCACCTATCACTTGCTGAGTTGGCTATTTCTACCACTCTAGTTCACATGAATTTCTTTTCGTTCCCTTACATTGTTAAATGTCCGAAATGTACGTTCCTCAAATACTTTCGTAATCGACTTTTTACATCTACGTTAATGCGATTTGTCGACAGAATATATACGAAGTAAATAGGATATATATTTTATTAACATCAGTATCATTTGATCATTATGGAGTCGGATATAGGGCAATTAAAAAGCTGAAGTTTTGTACATGAGATGACGTTTGTTGATGTGTTACAACGTAATCACTTGAATTGTTATGTTTTGTGGATAGTAATTGGCTGATTGTGGGTTTTTATCAGGTAAATATTAATAACATGTTTAGATACTGCTTTAAGTAACTGAATAACAGTTGTTTTGTTGAGATGAAACTCTTGGTCGGTAACTATGCTAGAGTCATCAGTTTTCTTGTACTCGCGCAAAAATTTAGTTGATAGAATATGACTAGACTTAATACTCATAACCGTTAACTTATTTTATCGATTTCGGTCAGCTGCAGATTAAATTTCAATACCTCACTGGAGATATTTTTTTCCAACTTCAATCTATTCTACTTATAGTCCTCATTGATGGGATACAGCATTCAGCTTAAACAGAAACATTTAGGACGAGCTTTTGACCTACTGGGTAGTTAAAAGTCCAATTATTTGTCCTCTTATTGAATATTCCTCAATTAGCGTACAAATATGTTATCTAAACACGATGAAGAGCAGGAGCAAATCAGATCTAGGGTAACCAAAAGTATACGGAACGATCATGTGAGCAATGGTGGGCAACGAAAGCAAAGGAGATGAAAAAGGCAACGACTGTAGGCAACACCAGACAACTCTTCAGACTAATAAAAAAAACAGGAATTGAGAGGTCAATTTTAAGCGAGAAAATCTCGGAAAAAGACGAGACTGTCATCTGCTCTCAGCCCAGACGTTTATAACGATGGGCGGAACACGTTAGAGAACAGTTTAATTGGCCTTCACTTACTCTACAGTTACCCACCATTCCCAAACAGTCTGAACGGAACATTGATGTAGGTCCCCCAACTCTAGCTGAAGTTTAAAATGCTATAGCTAATCTGAAATGAGGAAGAGCAGCTAGTCCGGATGGATTGGCTCCAGAAGTCTTTAAATATGGTGGTCTAATTTTAACGATTAGGTTGACTAATATTTTAGCTAAAATCTGGGAGTTGGACGTAATCTCATCCGGCTGGTCACAATCACTGATTGTCCCAATATATAAGAAAGGGTCAAAATCATCCCGTGATAACTATAGAGTGATTAGTTTGACTAATATAGCATCTAAAATACTAGCCTCAATAATTATCAGGCGCCTAACTAAGACTCGTGAACTGCGAACACGAGAAAATCAGGCTGGCTTCAGACCTGGTTGTGGCTGTATCGATCACATATTCACTATTCGTTAGGTTTTAGGACACAGGTATGCTTATCGGCATCAGACAAAGATAGTTTTTCTTAACTTAGAAGCAGCATTTGACTCTGTAGACCGAGAGAATCTGTGGCACTGTCTGTCATTGAAAGGTGTGCTTCAGAAGTACATAAACCTTATGAAGGCTCTTTACTCGAACACTACCAGTCGAGTGAGAGCTTATGGCGAACTGTCATATGACTTTAAAACCTCAAGTGATGTCCATCAAAGCTGTCCACTATCTGCATCTTTGTTTAACTTCATCATGTACCTACTACTGGAAATAACACTCTCGTCGACTGAATTTTCAGGAATCGATCTCCTTCCAGGAGGTCAATAATCGACTTGAAATACGCAGATAACATAGTCCTGTTTGGTGAAGATGCTGACAAAATGCAGAATCTTCTGTTAGCACTAAGTAACAATGCCAGAATATTTGGAACGCGTTCCTCCTCATCTAAATGTAAATTGTCTTTCCAGGGTTGGCCTGCGTCAAAACCTGAACTAAGGATAGGGAGTGAAGTAGTCGAATGCATCGACAACATCCCTTATCTTGGAATTCTGATCAGCCTTAATGTGTTGGTGTCTGCCAAAGTCTCAGCACGGACTCAAAAGGCTCGTTTAGCTTCTTCCAACTTACGTCACCTATTACGAAGACGAGATATCCGTCTATCAATTAAGGGACGAGTATACTATGGAACAGTTCGTTCTGTTCTACTTTACGACTGTGAAACGTGGCCATTAAGAATAGAAGATACTCGTAAGTTACTAGTATTTGACCACAGATGCCTTGAAAATATAGCTCGCATCTGCTGGGATCACTGGGTAAGTAATAGTGAGGTCAGACAGGGTATCAGGGAGTGATGGTAAATCAGTTGATGAGGTTGTAAATCTTCATCGACTCAGATGGTTGGGCCACGTGTTACGTATGCCTGAACACCGATTACCACGACGCTCCATACTGACTAGTGTAGGGGATGGTTGGAAGAGAGTTAGGAGCGGCCAAACGAAAACGTGGCATCAGTGCTTGAAGTCACTAACTTCTAACCTGAGCCATGTTGGTAGATGCAGACTACTTGGTTGGAGTCCGCGTGACTATCGTAACCAATGGTTGGAGACTGTGTGACATGGCCCAGAATCAGTCACTATTGCATAGGTGTATACACTCTTTAATTTAACCGGTAAGATTAAAATTGCTTCATATTTGTCTTTTTTCCTGTACTATATCTTTATATATAATCTTTCTTTTATATATTGCCACCATTAAATTAACTACTTCTATGTATTTGGTGTTCATCTTGTTGTGCTAATGAGATATGGAAACTTGGACTGATGCATATATATGCCTGGTCCTACATTGTAGCTGACTGACTGACTGACTGACAAATATTCTATTCACTTGTTGTAAAAAGATTCATTGAATGTTGTCATTTTCATTTAGGATGGTTATGATTGGTTTCTTTACGGAAAATGGTTTGTTGATATGTATAGTTTCAAAATTATGGAACACTACAAATATTGCAGAAATGAATGTCTTTGGATTGTAAATAGACTTATTCCTCTTATGTGTGACTGTTCTATTCATTTTGTCTTCTTGTTCCAGATAGTTTCACCTGGATTTATCTTCAGTTTCTGTTACTTCCTAAAAATGAATGTATTATGAGTTATTAGATTTTTATTCCTAGGTCCTTCAGGTCCTACTGTTAATATATATTTCATATGATAGTGATTAAAATGCATTTATTGCTCTCGATAAGACAAGTCTACTCTTTATTTGTGACACCCAATTGCGTAGTTGATGGATCGTTTCGGCTTCCCGCTGTTTTGCCTGGATTTCATTTCAAAGAGTCTCCATTTTTCAAACTGATCGATGTTCTTTTACCTCCGCAAATCATTCTCCCGGCCCACATTGGTTTTGCTACTGGACGCCGATCTTATGACCGTTCTCTGGCCTTGAGATTTACATCTGATCAAGTTGAAACCATTACTTATCACTGGTGAGTGATTTCTCTCGTCGTTTTGACTACTCGTGCGTAGTCTTTTGTGGGGTGACAGATTTACTTGTGCTTGCTCTGCATTTTTTCTGGAAAACTCTCATAAAAATCTTTGGGTTGAAAACCCAAAGTTTCCTAGTATTGGCCCGGTCAAAACCCAATATCATCTATTATTTCTTAAAACCATACTGGTAACTTTATGTCGAAGCTTTCAACACCTTAACTCTTAGCCTTACGTGAAGTTCGACAACAATCCTCAGTGATCAAAACTGCCACCCTTGGCCACGGAATTATTGTTTGCAAAGTATGCATTTTAGAATCGAGCACATTCCTTCTCTTGATCTTGTCCGGGTGGATGTTGGAGTAAAATTACGATAGATGATATGGAACACACTCGACCGAATCCCGTAATGTTTAACAGTGCACTTTTCGATTTTATAACTTTTGTATAGGGACAGCTATGCTCAGGAGATGGTGGCTACAGAAGCAGTTCAGTCACCAGGTGATAATTAGCTAAGGATTAGAGTGCAAAGATAGTGATCGGTAGGATTGTCTCTGAGAAAACCATTACGTTGATAAATTTTCGGAATTGATGGTTAAAACATGGAAGAAAATTTTTAACTAACTTCTGGCTACGTTTTGGTTCTTTTTCATTTAAAAGCAGTATGAGTAGGATATAATTGTCGTCTTTTGAACTTAGACTATAATTTGGAAGTTGGCAAATCTGAGATGAGAGAAAGCGATAGGATCTATTAGTTTACTTCTATTAGAATTTTGGTCGTTAATTCTTAACCAAATTAACTGCAAAAGCGACTTGGGTATATGGATCGGATGTGTTTCTTATAGGATCCTGTTGATTATTCCAGTTTATAGAAAAGAGGAGTGGTTCAAAAAGTAACTTGACTAACATGACTTCTAAGATATTATGGTCTATAATATTTAAGAACAGTTTACTGTTTTGCAAAGAAAATCATTTCAGTTTTCATCATTGATTTGATTTACCTACTATGTCATCGTCAGAATTTTATCCTGGAAACATTAGTTATTTGTTAGCAAATACAACCCGTTCACTAATTAAAAGCATTTTTTCGCTGACTATAGGTAGATTTTGTTCGTCAGCTAGAAATATTATCCAGACTTCTCAGCTGAAGTTGCTGTAACTGATGTTGCGATCTAGTAATTGATAACTGCTTGTACCAGTGAATTATGGCTTGACAGTTAGAGGAACTAAACCTAGAGCAATTCAGTCACACGTCTGAGTCCCACTCTATTTATTTTTGCTCGGGAAATCCCTCAGTAAGGTGCTGAGTAGGTAAATTACGCTTGTAACCAGAGTATTTCCCATCATGATGCTAGCGGCAAACTATAGTTTTTTTTTGACTGAAACTTTCATGTATTTAGCAGTTCCAACTCCGTCGATAAAGGTCGATTCGACTCTGTATCAGTTTACTCCCAATCATCAGCGTTTGGGAGACAAGTATTTTCATCACTGCTCCTTATGATGATATGATAAAAAACATATAGGTATTTGTGGAAGTTGTCATCATGGTTTCGCAAACTACCCACTAGGAACAGGACTTAAGGGAGGGGATTGAAGTTCGCATTATGAAAAGATATTTTCTTAACACTATCTTCATACAGCAACAAATCATTATGGAAAGTTCGAACTTAATGTGCCTGGAATTTCCTCATAATAAGTTGTCGTTACTTGCTTTCCTCGATAAGTAACGATTTTGGTGCATCACTAACAGGAAGCTGTAATTTGGGGACTTGAAAAACAAAATGTATTGGTTCACTGATATCACAATTTATTCATGGTAAAGTCAAAAAATTTAATAATGTCAATGCCTTTTAGCTGGCGTGGAGCTGATGAACGAATGGAATTCGGAGTGCAAGTTATTATGCGTTTCGCTCGTCTAGATCCTCAAGCCTGCCAAGATCTAGTACAGGCATATGAGTTGTATGGTAGTCGCAAGTCATCCAGTTTATCATCGGATAAACTCATTCAAATACCATTAGCTGAAGATAGTTTACCAGTTCATTTAATAATCCAAGTAAATGGTCGACCTATCCAACTCCCACCTCTTTTACCAAGTAATCGTCCAGGAATGGATGGACGTCGTAATCCTAGACCTATTAATATCACTCAGTCTGTAAGTATGTTTGTTTATGTTTATAATTGTGAGACAATTATCCGTAATTTAACTAGCGATTTCTTTTGGTCCTATTGATTGATATGACACTAGGATTTTCTTTTGTAGATTAGTCTATTATTGTAAAATCTTAAATGATAATAAAATCATGAACTATATTTTTAAAGAAGTTTTATGATGCACTGATTGTATATACTTTTGTTACCTTTGAGTTGCGAAGTAAATAACAAAGTGTGAGATCGTTAGGTTTGAAAATATTCTAATAATCGCGTATTTCAGTTGTTGGATATAGAATAAAATCTTTCATATGTATATAACAGAGAAACAACTAACCTTAGTTTGTTTGTTCGCTGGGAAAATACTTTAAATTGATGAAGAAATGTTTTGAAGCTGATTTCATGATTGTTATTTCTCAATTATGATCATAAAACTGTAGGGTATTCTCGGTTACAGACAAAGACATCAACTTGAGAACTATCAAAAGTTAAGGAGCACTAAAAAATCTGTTTAGCGGTGACATTATATCATGATTGCGCAATATATATATATATTCCACTGAGGGGATAGTTTTCAAATTTTCCCATTTCCCAATTACTCACCAATTTTTAACACTTGCTTAGCTCTTCAAGAAGGGTTAACTTCATTCTTATTTAACACTATGGCATGTAATACATAGACTGCAAGTTTATCTAATCAGACCACAATGAATTTGTCTGAATTCGAAATTGTCTTATGCATTTTTCGAAGTTATCTTGTATTTGAACTGTCTTGATTAAAATTATTTGGTGGGACTAGGAGTGGTATTTTGATTTTGGATTAATCTAAGAATAATTTGGATTTTTTTCAATCTTTCATAATTTTAGCTTCATGTTTCCCCTACTGTTCCAAACTATATTAAATTGACTTGGACTCATGATTATTCTAGCTATACCTATAATGTTGTTGGAATATACTTGATGCGTAGACGTTCGCCTCAACAGTTATGCGGTCTTTTACATTCGACTTCATTTCAAAATGCTAATGTAATGAAAGTAAGTTTTTGTCTTTATTTTTAGACGCTTCATTATAATAAATATTATCACCAATAGAACGTTGCCGCTTTTCATCTTTTGTGTTTTATTTCACGGTAGGGGGTCGTTGTGTCAATCTGAGCCATTGCTTTCTGAGGTCTATTCCTCAAATATTTATACATTTAAACAAATATATTTATTATCGATCGAAGTATTAGTGTAAGTCATTGGTTAACAAACTCTCTTATTACTGATTAAATTATAAACAAAACCCTTGTGGTAGCCGTATTTGGACCGTTGCTTTTAGATTATTTGTCCAAACCGTCGGTAATCAAGTCCATTAAACCCATGACTAGTCATTTTTATTTCACTTATTAAATATTGTGTATACTTTTAACTTAGTATGAATAATAAACTTGTCTTTATAATTCATCACTTTATCATTCTTGATCATAACTGCTTGATTAACCAGATCAATCACAGCTATATGGAAAACTGGGTGCCTTAGTGATTAAAATTTGTTTAATAGGATTTTGGAATATACAAGTTGCAATTCTTTGGTAGCATAAGTGTCATTTTAACCACAGCTGCGATCGTTTATCTTTTTGTGCTTCATTATCTGACTCCAATTTGATCGTGTCATTATCGTTAAGGAAATCCACATACCATCAATCCTCGTATAAAATTATTGGCGTAAATCGTGCTAGGGAATAACTGAGTTAAGTAAGTCAAGTACGATAATGAAGTTTGAATGAGTATATTTCGTACAACCGTTGATCAGAGCAGACAATCAGAGAGACAGAAAGAAGGAAGCAAAGAGGAGAGAGCGAAGCGAAACAGACCGGAGAAGACATGTGAGCTAACCCAATTTAACCGAGCATTACTCAATATTTATAGTCAGGCAAAAATAAATTACAAACATGTTATGAGGAGTAAGATAAGAAATGCACACATATACGCTTACATAAAAACATTCAAGATTGGTGAGCGAATAATTGACAAGGTCAAAATGTTAATAAAAGAATGAATAAATTGATCTGTCCGAAAGCTAGAATAAGGTGTGTGGGCTTGACATGGCTTCCGACATCGCAGAGTTCCATTGGTCAGCACTTGATATTTTGGGAAAAAGTTTTCCTATTCTGCTTGTATTGTTAGTCAGTAATAATTTTAATGCCTTACAACTATTTGTTTAATTTCCGCTCAGATGGAAATCATGAAAAAACTTAGTCCTAATGCTACCACTGGTAATATTAGTAGCGTGAACAGCCAAAGTCAGTCTTCAGCCTGTAATGAGAATGGCGATGATGATGACGATTTAGTTATGCCAAATACACTTCCTGTTCAGCTTCTTTGTCCTTTATCTAAATGTCGTATTGAAGTACCTGTACGTGGACGTAATTGTCGTCATGTTCAGTGCTATGATGCAACAACTTATCTTATAATTAATGAACGTAAACCAACTTGGAATTGTCCTGTGTGTGACGGTAAAGCTGTTTACGAAGATTTGATAGTTGATGGGTGAGTCTGTAAAATCCTTTAGGATTTATTAATGTACCAGTGATAAAAATCAGACAAGGGTGGGTTGAGTATCGTGTTTTGTGTATGAAATGTATGTCGGTTGGTTTATTTTAGCTAAATCATGTCTACGCTATCTTGGTTTTAGTCAGTCTTTCAGTAAAGTGAGACCACGAAACTAAAAGGTTTCTGTGGGTTGTTGCATTGTTTGCTATCGATTTTTACAATGCTTGATGGTATTGTATTTTTGCTTGAAATAATAATAGGTACTTACTCTGTGTTTTATTTCTTTATGAATGAATGCACTGTCGACGAATATTATTCATAACAGAAAACAGCACTCAGCTAAACTGTGTATGTCTAAAATGCTCAAAAGCATTGGAACAAGGACGTCTTAAATGTAGTTCATGCAAATCCTATTATGTCAGCAAATCAGGAACAGATTGGAGCAAAACTGAACACTACTGACTACTTTGAGCGATTTCTAAAATGACTTTCGTATTAACCAGTCAATCAGGGTGAAACTTTTAAGAATGAAATATACATTAAAAAGAAAACTATAATTACAAAGAATATATTTTCGGGATGCTGCCAGCCTAACTCTATTACCCTAACTTAACACTCCTAGCCCTAATAACCTTAAAACAATTTCATTCCTGGACTTTGTGCTTTCTTTGCATGTTATCTCTTGACCACAACTACGTAAATTTCCTTTGATCAATAGTCCAAGATTTCCATAGGTGGTCTACGTCATATCATCTAAATTAGTCAGGATGCAAAATCTCATCGAAAGGCGTGATACCCAGTAGTAAAATATCCGTAATTCCGTTTTAAAAATCGTTCATAAATTTATCAATCGCTTTATTCTGATTGATCAATTCCATTTGTTTCAAGTCTGTTAGTGTACTTCTACCATCCTAACCAATGACAATGTAGAGATTCTCAAAAATCAACCTAGATCCTTATAAAGGTTCTGGAAAACGGATAATTAATGTTCTTATTGGGTGGATTTGTATGCCGTTGGTTTTTCTATCTACAGATGTAGTAACGCGTAGAGGACAACAATGTATTCGTTAACTGTATAAAATCTCTTTGTAATTTGTTAAATTACTAGTTTCTTTTTATAAACTATCCATTTATAAAAACTGTCTTTTAATTGGTTAAGAATTGGCTGAAAACTTGTCGCCATTCTCCCAATCTCTTACTTGTAAGACTTCTCTATTGTCATATAGATGAATGAGCTTCGCTCTATCTAATTAGTTCAAAAAAATATGCCAACAAACCGAGGTTTCTTTCAGGATTAAGCATTTAAGTTTAGGATTTACGGATGGTGTCGATTCGCTTATTATATCCAATATACAATGTAGGCGAGATATAGATTGGATTAAAAAATGTCCTGTGCAAGATTTTGATGGGGCACGCTGATTGTCTATTTCTTAACCACTTAACGCTAGCGGAGACTTGGAGAAGATTCAAGAATTTTATATAAAAATTATAAATATGCTGTTTTTTTCATTGTGACTCCTAATTCCATCCGACTTTTTTATTTGGGATATAATTACGTTCCTGTTCAACCGTGTTCTGATTTGGGGACTTGTCGAGTGAATTGGTTTCCAAGATTATTCAGCACTAGAAGTATCTGGATAGAAATGTGAGAGATTATAACATACAGAGAAGGAACTGGGCCTTTGATGCGTTTAATGCTTTCACTTTTAGCATATGGTGACAAATAAATCTTTGTTATTATTTCCCAATGCTCTGTTGACTATACATACATAAAAGTCATGTTCTCAATTCTGGCTAACTTATTCCTATATCACACTTTTGCTGTAAATTCGTACGTGAAATTGAATTATAACTGGATTATCTACTTATCCTTCAACTTCTGTTAACAATAGGTTTAGATTCATCACTTTTCTGTGTTTACTAGATCCGATAGTATACCTCTAGGCTTTATAAAATAAGCATAGGCTGGAGCTCAAATAAGTGTAAGCTCCCCTGCTGTACTGATTTTTTCGATAACTGAAAACCAGAAGTTACCACCACCATCAAGTAATTTGAATGTCCCTCATTTGTTATTTACTATACAATGGTTATAACGATCTATGACAAGAATATCTTACAACTTTCGCATTTCCGAGCACGTTCCAAAGAATTTAAGTTTGAGAGGAGCAACGGCTCTAATTAGTACAGTAGCCCGGCACTTAATTGAAATCGGGGATACCATTGACATTCTTCAGTCCTTCGAAATTGTCAATAGACATAAAAACTCAACGTTTCTTCGGTTTCCCAGTTCAGTAGCAATAAAAATCTCAAACCTAATTTGTTTCCAGAAAGAGACAATAATCAAATTCCTAGCTTTTGATAATATCACGTGGAATTATTATTTTTTGTTATTATCATTACTTTATTAGTGTTTATTTTGTTATGTGGTCTTCATCAAACTAATTCTTATCTTATATACACCAAAATCATCCTCTTATTAATCGAGTTTTTTCTTCATTCACTCGATTTTCTAAAATTAAACACTCTTCAAATCTTGTTTAATTATTACGTAAACTTTCAGTTTCTAATTCTAGACAGTCACCTCACTGCTGTAAATCTTCTACATATACTTGTAAGTGATCTAAAGCTTCTCTAATTATTACACGACCTGTCTTATCTGTTTCCGAACTTCATTTAGTTGCCGCCCCACACCCTCATTTTCAAATAACCTCAATCCTGTTCTTATATATATATAGTTGTCATTGATAATCTTTGCTATTCTAGTTCTTTCCATTTTTAATGTTAATTGTTTCCCATTATATCATAACTCAATGTTACATTTTAGTGCACATCAATGGTTGTAAGCGGCTGATAAGAAATCATGAAATATAGTGAATTCATATTATTCTGCCTTAATTATTACTATGGCTTTGTTCGAATTCGTAAAGCAAACCAATTGCATGGATCTTTTTTTTCAAGTCTACAAAGTTGTATTTTTCTTGTATGCATATAATCTGTTAAGCTGAAAATTTTGTTTAATTACTTTTTCTAAAAGTTTATTTTTAGAAATATTGAATTCTAAACGTTCTCAAGATCTAGAAGAAATTATATTTCATTCGGATGGTTCTTGGTCGGCTCTAGGCGAAGAAATGACTTCTAATCAATCAGAAAATACCAATTGTAATAATGATAATAATGCTGATAATAGTAATAGTAAAATCCCATCTGAGCTATCTCCATGTACTGATTATAATCAATTATATAGTTTAAAAGAAAGCCCCTATGCTTCAAGTCACATTACTTCAAATTCAATTAGATCAACTACTGATTCAGCTGGTTCTTCTTCATTCGTACCATCATTTAATACCTTGTCTCCTGCTAGTTCAATAAATTCATTGTCTAATACAAACAATTCTTACCCTAATACATTATCAATGTCTCCTGCACTTACTGTACGAGCTGTAGCAACCACACCATTGATAAGAAATGATGTGGACAGTATTTCTGTCCCGAATACAGCAAAAACTACATCTACTACTAGTACTACCAGTACTAATTATCAAACCTTAGTTACTGTTCAATCTTCACGAGATAAAGAACAAAATCAGCATATATCCCAAGAGGTTCGTTTTCTGTTTATATATATATATATATATATATATATATATATATATATATATATATATATATACTGAGTTATTATTAGTTTACTTTACTGAGGGAGTGAAGAGGGAAGGGAAGATTTCACATATAGTCTGTAATTTTTTATATCTTGTATTGTGAATACCAACTGTCAAATCTTTTTTTGTTAGTCATCATCTATTGAAATCTATATTCATAAAGTTCACTGGTTAATAGACATGTTTAGTAACAGTGACATAACACTAGAATTAGCTTATAAGAAAATAATATTGAACATTTAATAAATTAATTGTTGATTTAAAATATCAGTTCATCTTTAGTTTTTAAACAAAAAGATGAATATTTATTGAATTTTACAATATATTTAGCCTTTAATGTATTTTATTTTTGTTGGGTGGAAAAATTATGTTGGTTTTACTTTTACCGTCATGATTTTTATCCATAAAGAATTTTTTCCATTTTATGTTCACAAAAATGTCTGCATAATTTAATTGTAGTTTAAATGTTGAAGTAAGTAAGTAATATGTGTAGATTGTTCAATTTATGGTAATTTCCGATCAATGATTGATATCATCTTAGGGAATCATTAAAAGGTAGAGATTTAGAAATGTTAGTGAATTAGATTTCTATTTGATGCCTTAAGTAATGTGCTCGGTATCGTGCATTCAATTCTAACAAGGTCATAGGTACACACTATTAAAATTTCTGAATAGTCATGGAACAGCAGTTATCTTAATGATTTCTGGTTTGAAATAACCCTCTAACCTATATTAGTTCGTGATGAAAATTTATTTTGTCTGTATTTAAGTTAATTTAAAAAAAGATAATCTGTTTCTTTTCAATATTATTTTTCTTGATTATTTATACCAGATTTCCTCCTTCACTATCGACTTAACATTATCTGATGATGAAAATGAACAACAGGGAATAAGTTATAGAGAAACTGCAAGTAAGTGTATAAATACAATACATTTTCATTCTGTATAATTTTATTTATAAATTATAACATCTGTTATCTATTTAAGGAGCTGTGTTGTATGTAATTGAGATACTATCTTTGAGCTGTTGTTGTTGTTGTGCATTAAGTTAAGATCTTCATGTTTTATCCCTTTATGCAATTTAGCCATCAGGCTAATTGTTCATGATGTGGATCAACAATAATATTCGGGATTAACAACCTTTGTTAGCATACATTCATCAGAAAATGAATGTAAAGCTCATTACTGTTATCTCCTAGTTTGCATTTTTCTATATCACACAACAGGAGAAATGTTATATCCTATGGAGATTTATGAATGGTAACTTTGAGAATTATTTATGGATCGATGTGATATGTATATTTTCTTTTGTATAATTGTTTAGTAGCTTAACTATTCATATTCGTGTCCCTCTTATTATAAGCTTCATTTTGACCTATAGACTATTATTATACAATCCCCTATTCCTGAGTTATCCCCAGTCTATTGATTACTGTCCCCCCTATTCACAGTCACATTTGGCCAAATCTTGTACAAATGTTATTTTCTATTTTATGGTACAATGTGGTCAGTTTGTTTGATATATAAACCCAGTATGTTTGAGAGTAATGTTCATATTGTAGAGGTTGTTATTGGTGTTCTGGACTTAACTGACTGGGCTAGGCAGAAAGCAGGACTGATAAGTGCTCAAGACTGCTCATACTACTTTTGTGTATCATTGCTCTGATCGATAATTCATTCTTCTCTGTGATTGGCGATCATATATAAACAGGGCATCTAGATAGGGACAATCGATATAAAAAGGAAAAAAACAGTAATTTAACTAGTGTTTGAATCGAATCTCTCCTATTTATTGCGTCATTGACATGTTGGGCGAGACTATAATTTGTGGACGAACCAATTAGATTTGGGATAATTGGTCTCGGATTTTTACGCGAAATTCGTTCACTCATTTGTCTAAATAGCGTTTGGCGTGATGACAACCCTAAATCTAATTTTTAACCTTAACCATCAACTGTAAATCATAATTTCAATTCCTCACACTGCTTTATAACCCTCATTTAGCCCTAGAAAGTAGGTGGATATCCCCATGATCACTTTAGCTTCGCTCATAAGTAGTCCATAAATTATGGTCTCACCGACATGTTTTTAAACCACTTTTGATTTAATAAAATACTAAGATTGATGATGTCCAACAAATAGGAGACTGAGTTCGCAGTGCGATTGCAAAGGTAATGCAATCTGTGGTAGCTAGCCCTACGACAAGCCCACATAGGGTTGTTCTAGTTTCCGAGTCAACTATCTATTCATTCTTCTTAAACCAAATTTTGACCTTGTCACTTACTAATCCTGACTATTTTTATGTAAGCATATGTGTTTGCATTTCTTATCTTACTCATCATCGCATGTCTTTAACTTATTTTTGTCTAACTATAAATATTGAGTAATGGTTGGTTGAGTCGACTCACTCGCGTTCTCCGTTACGCGCCATTCTTTGTTTTGCTTTGCTTTCCGATCAACGATTGTGCGAGAAATACGTATGCAAAGTCCATTCTCATACTAGACTTATTTTAATTCCGCTATTCACCAATGCGATTAAAGTCCATGATTTTATATGAGGATTGGCGACATGTATATTTCGATAACAAGCAGCAAACGATCTACCGGGAGTCAGATCTCGGACCACTAAAAATCAACCGATCATGCTGTTCGTATACTATTTGATCGCCTAACCTTGGGAATTTTCGAAAGAAGTTTCAGTTGTTGAAGTTTTACAAATCATTCAATTCAGATACCTTTGATGATCATAACAGTAAAAATCTGCTGCCGATCGAATCTAAAAGTTTTGAATTCTGTCATGTTGAGTAGAATATGATGTTGGGGATAATCTACCTTGCAATATAGTTTTGAATTTTTTTAAAAATATTTTGTTGATGCAATATGACTTGAGGTGCTTTAGCAAATCTGAACTTAATATATCTTGTTTTTATGTCTGTCGTTTCATCAGTGTATTCATTTATGAATTCTCGTAAAATTGGTTGGAATTTTTATGACATCATTTACTTCATCAATATACGTAATGTTGATATTATAGATAAAGCTTTGAAAATGGCATAATATACGTTCAATTATCCTTTTTTTCCTCCCACATACGCTTATTGTAACTTACAGGTTTTTGTTTTTTGAACGTACTTTTTTTCCAAGGTTGTAATGTTTTTTACCACATGTTTCTTTACTGTACAATTATACGAGTTCACTACTTTTTCTGGACACTTGTAAATAATTCCTCATGGTAGAGTTTCTCATCCTCTATCAAACTTGATCACATGGAGGCAGCTAAGTATTTATCTATTACATTCGTTACATATTTCATTTAAAGTTTACAATTAACTTCTGCACTATTCAAATAATACATATTAGTTTCATTTTGTTACCGTTAAACAAAATAAGCCACTCTATATTTAACTGTTTATTATTGCATGAATAGAGTGAGCATATTTAGGTAAAAATTATTTCAAAATACTTACCATAAATTGAAAACCAAGACCCAAGAAAATGAAAATAAAGCAACTATGGTTCAGTGAATGACATCATGCTAGAACTAGGAGTTTTCATCTTGATGTTAGTCATATAACGTCAATGGCTTGTTTGTAATTTTTTAACAAAAATATTGACAAAAATATTTTCGAAAAAGAAATTGTAAGATGATGTTACAAGTGTCCATTGTCATAAGAGCTATCCATTAAAATATGTTAGAAATGAACTATCATATCATTCAATAAATTAGTTACAATTATTCGTTAATATTAGTTTAATCTAATTTTAGTGTAAATTTTATTCATACATACATGAACTCATCTTCTAAGATATTTACAAATGTAATAGTTGTTTGTAAACACTAGCATATCTCCAATCACACATTGCATAATGGAAAATTATCAATATGAACTTGTTACATTATCACTTAATTTTAATTTGTAATAGTTGAATTCATGAGTAGATTAAAACTAGACCACCATGGAAAACCTGAAAACACTGGACGGCCGTTTCGTCCTAGTATGGGAATCTATAACAATTCGTATCTCACGATGCTGCACGCGGGACTCGGACCTAGGACCTTCGGTCTCGCGGACAGACACTTAACCTTTAGACCACTAAGCCGTTCGTCCTCAAGACCGAAGGTCTCAGGTCCGAGTCCCGCGTGCGGGGTCGTGGGGTGCGCACTTCTGAGGAGTCCCATACTAGGACGAAACGGCCATCCAGTGCCTTCAGGTTTTCCATGGTGGTCTAGCTCTAATCCACCCATGAAGTCAACTATCAAGAATTACTACAATATTCAGAAAAAAAAACGTTTTCGTAGAAATTAATTTTAAGTTTGTATAATTTTGTTTTCTCCATTAGCATATGAATACATTTTTTAGCCGATGGATTGTATCTAAATTTTTAAATCCTTTTATATAAATTTACAATCATCATATCGTAAGCTTAAGTTATTTTACAGATTTTATTTATAGGATAATAACACGTGGCCATTAAGAGTAGAAGATACTCATAAGTTACTAGTATTTGATCACAGATTCCTTGAAAATATAGCTCGCATCTACTGGGATCACTGGGTAAGTAATAGTGAGGTCAGACAGGGTTTCAGGGAGTGATGGTAAATCAGTTGATGAGGTTGTAAATCTTCATCGACTCAGATGGTTGGGCCACGTGTTACGTATGCCTGAACACCGATTACCACGACGCTCCATACTGACTAGTGTAGGGGATGGTTGGAAGAGAGTTAGGAGCGGCCAAACGAAAACGTGGCATCAGTGCTTGAAGTCACTAACTTCTAACCTGAGCCATGTTGGTAGATGCAGACTACTTGGTTGGAGTCCGCGTGACTATCGTAACCAATGGTTGGAGACTGTGTGACATGGCCCAGAATCAGTCACTATTGCATAGGTGTATACACTCTTTAATTTAACCGGTGAGATTAAAATTGCTTCATATTTGTCTTTTTTCCTGTACTATATCTTTATATATAATCTTTCTTTTATATATTGCCACCATTAAATTAACTACTTCTATGTATTTGGTGTTCATCTTGTTGTGCTAATGAGATATGGAAACTTGGACTGATGCATATATGTGCCTGGTCTTACGTTGTGTCTGAATGACTGTTTAGTACCAATGTTTAGTACCAGTGTTCAAATCAATAAATAATGGCTGAAGTTCGGTTTAGATTTTCGTTGAAAAAGTAGGAAATGACGATTTCTGAGTGCAAATGCGAAGAAGAAATATTAGTTGCCTGATCCTACGTTGTAACTGACGTCTGACTGCCTGACTAATCATAGATCATATAGACACGTGGGTTTTTTTTCAAGTCAGTCAAAATATAAGTAACCTATAATTTAGACGTTTATTTAACTTTTTTTCTTCTCTCTCTAAATGTTTCATTGAATTCTTTAATTTACTTCGAAAAAAACTTAAAAACTTATGGATTTTTTCCTAGGTAGTATTCAAGTTCCTACAAAAGACAATAATTCTTCTTCGCGTCCTGTAAATACAGTAACATCACATTCTTCATCATCATCGTCATCATCCTTATCACCTCAATTTCCTCCTAGTGATTTATCTCAATCTTCTCATTATTCTGAAAACAATAATCAACCTCCATTTTCATTACATACGAGTAATAGACCATCTTCGATAACATTATCAAGTGCTTCTTACTCTAAAAGTTGTAATCAATCAATTTCTATACCTCCTGTTTATTCATCAGAATCAAATTCTACACAATCAGTTAGTGTTAGCCAAAATCTTGTAGTTCCTAATGTTTCTGTAATCAATGCCTCTTCAAATCAAAGGCGTTATCCTCCTGTTAGCAGTGGACAGAAACAAGTGCAAGAACCGGCTACTAACATACCTTGTTCTGTTACTCAATCAGATGTTCCTGTTAGTTTACCTTCAATTGGTAAGCTTTATTGTTATATATCACGTGTAAAACGGGGTTTTAGTTAACAAATATCTTTTCGCTGTCATACTGACTGTCGAAACATGGGCTTCACATATCCAATTTATTCACTTATTACAGAAGTGAACTAACTTCTTCACTCAAGGGCTGCGCAAACCCAGATACTGTGTCTGGATGTTGCTTATGGAAGATACCTAAATGTTTTTCATTAAGCGTCGAATGTGTATCATTTATTTTCGAAAGTCATATAACCGAATTGTCAATATCAATTTTATTTCATCAATGGGTTAGGTGCAGCTAAGATGATCATATTGTTATGAATAACAGAACGATATGATTATTTGCACTGCAATCTAAGTTATTTACCTGAGTACATCAAGGTATTGTCCGCATTTATTTAGGTGTCCATGTAGATACCAACTGTATTTGTGTCAGTGCGATCAAAGGGAACATTGTTATGTCTTAATTTTTTTAATCTTCAACATAATTTCATCACAGCTTTTATTCATACTTATTCCGCCTGTGATCTCTCCAAAAAACGTGCCCAGAAAGGAGTCTTACGTATGCAAAGCAAAGCCTCAGTATTAGTTATCCTAAAATTGTCATGTTAACTACATTTTTCATTATGTTAGAAACTGGGTCTAAATTTTATACATTGGCTTGCCTTTTACCTTTTATTATCTACACCTCAACGACTAGGCTGATTGACTTTTGTGATGGGATAAAAAGTAACATTATTTCGGTCGATATTTTTTTGTATAATTTCACTATCGATTTCGACCTGGGTGACATATGTGAACTTAGTATGTGACGTTTCAAAGTAAATATTTCTGGTGTAAATTCGGCGTAAACTTCTTTCAATGTTACGACTGTGGACGTTTGTTCCGTGTGATATTCATGTTCCCCGTATCATTGCATATGAACTATATCCTATGTGTGTTTTTGGAGTAACTCTATTTTTTCACATATATGATATTGTTAAGCGTGTGTAAAAGTATATAATTGATCGTATTTTGGTCTAACGAAGACGTGATTTTATAATTCGTTTGTGGACGTGTTTTTGAAGTGTCATTAGATTTCTACTGCACCAGTCTTTCGTGTTCTTTGCGTCATGTGAATCGCTATGGTTGTCGATTGTCAAGTAAAGAAGCAGTAAAACTGCGGACACAACTGAGGCGATCCGCACGTAACAGCGATGACATACCAAACCTAACAGAGTCGACTTCAGACGTAATAACAACATTAGCACCGCAAAAGATAGATATACGTATATTAGTCTTAAAAATGATTTATTATTTCTCTCGCTTTTCTTTACAAGCCATATTTTTTTTGCAAAGATGTCATATTGGTAAAGGTTTTACTAAAATACCCCGGCATTCATTATAGGCATTTTGATCACCCTTATAACAAGAATTAACTCTTGTTTTTTTTTCAGTCACTTCAGCAACATGTGGAGGTAAACGTCCAAGCTCATCAGATTATAATTTTTCATCGTTGAATTTCTATCAATCTGGGACTCAATCTGTAAGTAATAATAATGGATCACGCTGCAGTTCAACCGTTCAAACTACATCTGTTTCAGATGAATCCAGTCAGTATTCTTATCCAACAGCAAAAGTCCCTCGGATTGAAATTCTACATAGTCAACATTATGGATCGTCTTCAACTCAATCTCAGGGATCCTATTCTAATAATAATAATAGTGGTTATAATAGTTCTAGACGGTATACAAATAGTCCATCTGCTTCAAATCCTTATACATATCATTCCAATATAACTCGACAGATGCCATCTGATGGATATCATAGCAACAGACTGACGTCGTCAACATTCCATTCAGGTCAATCTTCCGATCATTTTTATCACAATGAACATACACCAAATGCAAGCAGTCGATATTCATATTATAATCCTAATGAATCTGGCAATAATAATATTAATAACGCTAATCGAACATACTGCTATTATCCATCTTCAAGACATGCTAGTTATCCTACATCCGATTCTGGAACAATTTATCCGCATAATAGACAATTATCATCTCATATTCGTGGTCCTTATGAAACTCACCACAGAAATGTAACGGTAAGTCCTAATTTTTTGTTGTTGGAATTTAACTGTTTATTTTAGAATGAAATGTACTCAATTTTTTTCTTTTCGAATAGTACATTATGGTTTTTTGTTACTCTATTTGTATTGTATAGACCTTTTAAGTTAACTATAGGTTTTATCAGTCATTCTAATTTTGCTCACTTAAATTATTTGAATTCAGAACAGAATTATTTAACAGAGATATCTTTTGAATAAATTTCTATATGATGTCTGTATTTAATTGTTTTGTTATTAAGTAATATAATTTAATTTATCAGTAGTACTGCGTATTCATGCTTATACATTAGTAACATACAATAGATTTGTATAATAATTTCTTTTTCATTATTATTCATTTAGAATAACACTTTGCCAAGAGATCCACTTCATCATAATTCACAAATGAGATCATCTGATATGACTAATTCAACATATTGTGGTAACTCAGTTGACTCACGTAGAGGATTTCATTGATGGTTTTTTAAATCGGTAAATTTGATGTGAACAACATGTTTTATTTTAAAAAAATTACATATTTATGTAATTTTAATTTAAATTATATGTAAAATATTATTAGGTTTACACAGTAGTTATTGGTGAGCGGCCTATGCTCCTTGGCGAGGGGTAACAGGCGTAAGTAAGTAATTAAGTAACGGTAGTTATTCCCATCATGTTACAGTGTAATCTATTTAAGTTTCCTGATGAATTTACTTCAACCCTAACGGAAATTAATTAGGTATTCTATTTGGTAATATAAATGCAGTATAGTTACACTCAGACTATTGCGGCAAAGCGTTGTAGCAGTACTCTGGAATATGTAAATGTGATATTATTTCTTCTGTTTAATTCTTAGATGAACATCTGGACGCAACATACATATAGACTAAAAAGTTCGAGAGCTAGAACAGTAATGGATTAAGTCAAGCTTCTGTACTTCATAACAATACGGCAAAAAAATATTAGGGTTTTTAAATGTACATAAAAGATGGGGAGTCGAGATTCATAAAAATTGAATAGAGCTGTATGATTTCGTTAATATTCTAAGGTTTCCAGATACTGGGATAACCCAATAGATTATACCGTTTGCATTCTTCTAGATATCTGAGATAAACAGTCCTTTGTTCTATGAGTCGACTTGTTATCTCCATTTAAAACATACTTCAAGCTCTAGTGAAAATCACTGCTACAGTTTTAGCGTGCATAATGTGTCCCATTTATTACAGTTGTAAAAAGAAAAAAAAAGGTGGATGGTTTACCTTTCTCACTCATAAATCCACTTTCAACTTCACGATCATTTATTCATAATTATCATCCACATTTACTGACTACTAATCTTCCAGTGATGCCTTAATTTCGACAGATCTGAGGAAAGCGGGATACTGTCATTTGTATTTATATTTGAATGCATCGCATATGAATAAGGCTGGTAAAATCTAATTAGTCTACAACTATGGCTTAGGTCTATATATTTATTCGTTGAACTGTATGAACCTCGATATATCTACCCTCAGTTTATGACGTCAAATAATATCTCTAATCTTTGTATAATAAATAAAACCTTATTACACAACTATGTACTTGGTTTTATTAACGTTCTTGAAATTCATTTAGGTATATACTGGATGTCATCTCATCAATTGAGTGTGCCTAAACTTATAGAGTACTTAAGGTGGATAAAAGTCACATTCATTTAATTTCCTATTAACCGTCAATATTATTGTCGGTTTTCTATAGATTATTACTGAATTTATTATTGTTGACTATTAGTTTTATTAGTGTAACTTCATTTTCTTTTTAGAATTTTCCCAATGAAAAAAAAGAAGATAACAGTTTCATTATTCCTGATGAAGTTTTTTCCTCTATTAATTGGATGTACACATTTATATAAATAGTCTACTTTCTTTTCTTCCTTTTTTTGTCTTAAACAAAAAGATTGATTTGTAAATATCATTCATTTTTGAAGATAGATGATAATCATCCATTCGCTTCTTGCCTTTTTTCTTTCTTTTTTTTTAAAATGTATAACAGAATTTATACAGATTACATTTGCATTTTTCTTTTCCATGTTAGTTTTTTCTGTAAATGATTTTTTATTTTTAATGTAGACTACTACTGAATAAACAAAATGTAACAGGAATTATTTATTTATCGTACATATACAGTCAATCTTTTTTATTTTCTACTGCTCACTACTGTGACATCATGTCAACTGATGAAGTTTAGTAAAAAGGCATGGATAAATCAAAAACTACTTCTACATACTTCTTTACTCTGTATCTGACATTATCATTCGTTTTGATTTGACGGCATGCACTTGACATTGGGATTAATATATGTAGATGTACATGTATCTTATCAGCGTTATTTTAAATTTCAATACTTCAAGTATGGTACATGTTACATTAAATTTACTAATAAAGGGCGCCATATTTGTTACCGCATTTTACTATCAGGTTATTGTTCACATGTTGTTGACTAGGTTTATTAACTGACCAACCAATTCATTATATATAGTTTTCTTTATCTACCTTCTTGTTGTATAAAATACAGTTATGTCTATTATTATTATCATCATCATTTTATTCATGCTGTCTCTCTGCGACTTTGATTGTAATCAAATCTAAGTGAATGTCTACATATATTCTCCTGTTTATGTTGAGTTTTATAACTATATTCTTTGTAAATGTTTTAAAGTGTTAGTGTATTTCAATGATGTTTATTTAAGGGAAACACGTGATTTGTATAAAAGAGACTCGAACTTGTATAAAATTAATTCCTCTTTTCTTTCATGTTTCATGCTTACTGGATTGTTGTTTTTCATCGTAAGTTTTGTGCATGGATAATTTTAATTAATCCATTTCAGTTATATTTAGATGCGTTTATTGAATTAGAAAGCAATAATTGTTTCTCATGGGTATGATCACCAAGACGTCTACTGAAATAATTTTGCATTAATCGTCAATAAAAAATTAGTGATCTATTGCAGCTCTTGGTGTATAAACGTTTAATTTTCATCATTTTATGCCTCATGTTACGTTTACTTCTACTTAAACATCCAAATTGTATCATTAGACTCCACACTACTTGTAGTTCATTGCTAATTACTTAAACCAGTCACTAAGTTCCATCAGAATTTAATTATGTAGTCTTTTATCCAGAGGACTGTAAGTCATTATTCTTTAGATCTAAAAGAAATGTTATGCTGTCTCATTATTATGGTTTGTTAATTACGAATGTTTCATATTCTAACTGTATAGACGCTCATTTGGAATCCACTGTAATATAGGAAGAAATTGTGCGCTTATCTGTTTGAAAATTGTGATTCGATGATAAATTTACCAAGAAATAAGGCTTGAAGTGGTTCCATGTCAGAATGGCATAGTCGAAATCACTAAATATATGCATTCATCATAAATCCAATCTATAAATCTTTATCCCGAGTATACTTATTTCATTTTTAAACCAATGCTCTTGCTTTTACCAATAACAAGCCTTAACAAGATGACGAGATAACATTAACTCCTGTTAGTACAACAGACCTATTCACGCAATGATTGGGAATATCAGTTATGACAAATAAGACTGAAGAAAATCCAGTTTCTTCAGTTTTTTGAAGGGATCGGGAACATCCTGTCAACCGAGCTGTCAAAGACACCGTTAGCTAAGATCCCATGTTTTGTAGATATTTACTCATTTGTTAGGTGTTTTCAATAAACCCAGAATAGAGGAATTGATATACATCATCGATTGTGTGGTTTGTGCTACTTATGTCGACAGATATAAGTAGTATGTGCCACCAATTAGAAGTGGAAAACCTTGTAGCAGAAAACTATGATTGTTAACTTGAAGAAAACGGAAGCGAAATTAGAAAGGAATCGTGAATCGAAAAATCATACATAATGTGAAAGATAAATGTTGGAAATTCACAAATGAAGCATTTCATTAATGGTTCTCATAATTTACCAAGAATTTCCGTAATTTTGTATTAAAATATAGTTGGTCGTCCCTAACCCGAGTCTTCGTTCATTACAACTGACCTAAACAGGAAAAATTAACTTATGAAGCCTATGCGTTTCGAACAGCTGGTCTATTAGTCTTAGTTCCAAGAAATATGTTTAGGAGTTGTAGCAGAAATATTCTCTACTGGGTTTACTTTCTGTTTCAGTATTTTCCTAGTAGCCATCTTTCGCTGAACCCTTTCCAGAATATTACTTTGTTGTGACAGGTGGTGTCCGGATTCTGATGCTGATACATGGTGTGCTACACACTAATCCCACAACTGACTACTTGAGCGGGGAAGTGTATTGGGCTACTGAATAAAATGCACAAATGCTCATTTATATATATACCACTCTGATCCTCAGGAAATTGATTCATTTCTTAGCCAATGAAATGCACTTATCCGTTAGGTCACTTCTCATTGGCTCCATGTCAAACGGATCCAACCGTCATCTGATTTAATCATGACTATTGTGGTCAGTTATTTCTTCCTCTGGTTTCGACTTAGTGATTATCACGTAATCCTCACGTTCGTTATTTTTAAAGCCCCTTAAAGGGTATTGAATTTTTATTTTTTCAATAAAAGGTGAGATTTTACATATAGGATAGCTAACGTTAAACTTATGGGTCAGGAGTTAATGACACACATTAGTTAGATGTCAAAATCTTCAGGATTTTGGTTTTTTGGAGACATTGATTTACCGAATAAATGTACACGGCAAGCGTTTGTGTGTAGTTCGCCTACTTTGTTTAGGTATCTGACCACATAAATAAGCGAGTATATTTGCGTTAAATACAATTTTTCCCTAAGTGACTTTTGATTGACTAATCTCAAGATTGCGGTTGATCGTACGATGTGCCTATGTAGTCCGACAGATAAACTTTTGTCAGGAAGTAAACTTTTAATTCACAGTTTATGTTACTTAAAAATGTAGATAACTACTTTTATTGAACACTTAGCTAATGTATTTTTTGTGTTGTTGAGCAGCTAAGTAGCATACAATCCTTTTTGCAGAAAATTTCCTAGATAATACTTTTGAAAGTAGGGAATTACATATATGTACATATAATTTGATTATTCACATTGTTCAAACATTCTCACTACATGCTACATATGATAGTATGTATATAAGAGATAATATTTATTTTAACAAGCATTTTACGGTGGACATTTAGTTGAATGCCAATCATTCATTTTTGCTGCGAAATGCATAAAGAACAGTGAGTAGAATGCTGGAGTAACAGATTCTACCTATGTACTCAGGTTTAATTTTATTGTTAACTTTACATTAAGTGGTGCGTTTTACAAACGAAAAGATTATGATAGATACAATTAGTAAAATCAAGCATTGAAAAGTTAAAATGTTCGTGTTCCAAGATCTTCGTGTATGTGTCACTCCTTGGTCTGTTTGCCCACTATATGTGCTTAACAAACATGGAGAGAGGATTGTCTCTTTCTGGTTTAAGGCCTTGAAGGGTCCTCAAGACTTGCTATTTATGGGCTCGATTGTGACTGGACAGCCTTAAAGGCAGTTAGAAGGAAAATATTCTATCAAGGACCTGATAAGTTGGCAAGCAGAGGAAGGGAAGACGATAAGCTGGATAGGTCTTCCGGCTTACTACTAATTCGAACTAACTCAGAAAAGGCACATGTGAATAACGTGGTCACACTGCCTAAGGAATGAGAAAAATGCAATTATGTTCAATATAAGACATTATTGTAGAAAAATTGGATATAAAGATCACATTTAAATTACAGTAATTTCGGAATAAAAAGTAGTACGGCAGTGACTTACGCAATGAATAAAAGTTTATGATTCACAGAATTAAACATACAAAAAACTAAATGTTAGTACATTATTTAGGCGAAAAGATATCCCAAAAGTAACTTCTGTCGTTCTCCATCGCTTTTTCATTACTTTCTTCACATCGATATGTATCAAACTTTTGACCCGTAGGTCCAATAAACATTTCACCACTTTCCTCTTGAGTAATCATATTTTCCGTGCATAGTGTCTTTCAAGCAGAAATTAAGTTAGAGAACAGCACCTTATGTTATTAATCTTAGGTAGGTCTTTTTATTCTATATTATGGTGATTCATGGTTGGAATAACCTTATTGGAAAAATTATCTTATAATTAAGGAAACTAGCATAAATTGTTCAGGCACTTCTCATAGCAACTTTAGTTTGCTCAAACATTTATGTGAAGATTAATTTCCTTGCAGCACTATCAGTACAAATTTGTTTGGTTACATTGTGTTCACTTTCGACCTATTTATCATTTTATTCACACTCTTTCTGAATACTTTATATTCTCTAGATAATTTTACCAAGGTTCACAATTCACTTTCATAGTTTTTCTAACCTAGTTTTTAATAATCTTTTTTTAAAAAATTGAGTTTTAAAGTTTTACAAAAACATTTCAGTTTTGTTTTTTAATTAAGGTGATAGATATTATTCCTGAACGTTTTATTCTTTCATGGCCATGTCTAAAACAAATTATTTTAAATAATCAGGAGTTTTGTGGAGATTTAGTATTTTCATAGTTGAAAGCGTGAGTCAATTGAAACTAGACCACCATGGAAAACCTGAAAGCACTGGACGGCCGTTTCGTCCTATTATGGGACTCCTCAGCAGTGCGCATCCACGAACCCGCTCTCACGAGATTCGAACCCAGGACCTACCAGTCTCGCGCCAGAGCACTTAACCGATATTATGACTAAATAAAAGTTGTTATGAACCGATACAAGAAATAAGGCAAAGAGACAGTCTATGAAGATTTCTTATGCACTAAAAATAAACTAATAACTATGTTTGGAATCATTGAATTCTGAATAGTTTCTTTATACTACTCAGTAGTTTAATTTGATTAAATTAAATCGAGTAGCACTTGGTGATGACTTATTGTGTGGAGATAATCGATAAATATTGTAAGATTAAGTAACTAGAATCAATAAATAGTTAATTTAATGAGTTATATAGTTATTCTTTCCTATCACTTTGACCTTTTTTAGCCGGCTACGTACTAGAAAGTTCATTGTAAATGATTAACTGAAAAGCTCAGTTTTCCTTCTTTATTACACCCCTTGTTCTTTTAAAATCAAGTCCTGTGTCATGTTTACTTAGTTTTTTTAACACGTTTAGACGGTCTCTTAACAGTATCAATAAATTGACAGGATATTGACCTGGATCTTTATACAAATAAACAAGAGATATCAATTTTATTAATAAATTGGCTTTTGTAATTTGTTAGTTGATGTTTCATACATTTTCTTCGTTTGTTTGAACAGTTATTTTTAGATTGTCAGTTATCAGCAAAATAAGATGCTTACTTTATTCTCTTTAGATCTATGCACCATGTCAACTTGTCGAATCAGTTAAACCAAAAGAACATTCAGACCATCCATATTTTGCTTATCAACCAAAATTTAGCTGTCGAACCCTGAAGAAATAACAATAATTCTTGCTCCTTACATGTTAAACTTTTTATACAAAATTATAAGATGACTGCACACTACATACAAACACATTGTAGTTGAATTGAATTTGGTTTATCGAATCAATATTTAGATGTTTGCATGCGTCATCCATTTTGTTTGAAAAGGTAAACTAACTACCACCAGACTCATCTGGTAACTGTGGATGACTTCAAGGAATATAAGACATTCACGACTGCTAGCTAAACTATTTTCAGAAGGCACTGAGAGTACCATAACTTTGGTCACGATGACGTATTCTCTGCACATTTATGCAATATTTCAGCTTCTTATCCACTTTTTGTGTAAATATTTAAAATATTTGTGGAATGTATTTTATTTTATTTATTTATTTAAACACATAAATATAGGTACAATGAAGCACCAGATAAATATGCGCCTCACAAATCTCATTCGATTTGTGTGAGGGCTGTGATACTGCCCAGGTGCCCAGACTGAAGCAGGTGGTTTTCATAGGGGGCCACACCCGGAGCCTTTGACCTGAATGTCTGATCCACAAGGCAGTGGAGCATCGTGAGGAGATGCAGTCCCATGGTAGCCGGTGACCAATGACAGGTTCGTCCGCCATTCGTTCCATCAGGATACTGGAGCCCATGTGCACCATTGGTTTGGAATCAGGGTTTTCCAACTCCCCTAGGTGGACCCTCCGTGTCCACCAACCCGGTTAAAGCGCCGGACATTCGCTTTTCGTCCTCTCACTTTCGTAAACAACACCCCCGCCACGAGAAGGCAGTGAGTAGGACTTCCCTGGCAGAGGCTATATATTCGCTGGCCATATGAGAGTATTTCGAGAGGGAGAGGTGACTTTCCCCACTCTCGGCCGTACCAGGGCATTTGGGGGCGGAATGTATTTTAATAAACATTATCTGCCTGTTATATTTATCTTCATTATTACTGGTTCGTCACCTTATAAATGAGAATAATTGTTTGTTGACTGGTTAAAAAAAACCTCACTAGTTTTCTTCATTCAATCTCGTAGAGAGAAATGTTTCATTATATTGAATCATAAATGTAGAAATCATATCAATAACGAGATACTATCAATAGAGTAGGACTTGAGATCAGAATAAATTAAAGCCACTTAGACAATTTCTTACTTTTAATAAATACAGTGAAACACTAACTCTGTAGTCTTCCATCCACTCTTACAACAAATACGTAGAACTCAGTGACATAAAAGTTTTCTTTATAGTAAACTCTGTTCTGTTGTAGAAATATTCATCAGTTAATATTTATAACAGTGTGATCTACATGTAAATGATGATTTCTTCTCGAAATAAATAATGTTATTCGCGTAATCCACTTGCAAGTGTAGAATTCGAAAGTTTCTTGTAATAAATCTGTTGTATAACTGACTCAACTAAGTTGTGATTTTCTGGTGAGCAATCATTGTCTTAAGTCAATCAAGCGTCACTAAGTTAACCCTTAACTCACTTAGTGGTGGGACATATATTTTCTATGGATTTTTTAAAAGTGACTGATTGTAATCTGTGTCAGACAGTTTCCAGCGAGTTTGAGTATCTTAGCAGTCTGCTATTTGCTTTAAAACTTTTTAATTGGTTCAAATTTATCTAGGATCGTGGTATAGTGTTCGCTTAATAATTCAGTCAATGAAATACTAATCGTAATCAAATGACAAGCTGCATATACGATAATCTCATTGTAGTGTAACTTAAAGAGCAACGTTGTTTGTAAACAAGGTATTATTTTCAAGTGCGGTTAATTTATGTGAATTAGATATAAAAATGTATGATCCTACAAAAACTACTATGACAAAGGATAACATTAGCTTGTGACCAGTTATTTATTTGAAAGTACAGTGCCAGTTTCGTTACTTTTCTGGTTTGATTACAGATCACTTGACGGTGATCGACTTGGCATCCGAGTCAGTTGTCCAATAGGAGATACAAAGTACCACAAGTTCGGTTTATATTAACATACTAAGACAAACACAAAGTTCCTAAGTTAAACATCAATCGATGGATGCTTTATCAAGCTTAGTTTCTTACTTCTAATCAAAATGATTAATGTTAATCCTAACTATAGCCTAATGTCCTGTATGATCATTAGATTCACATAATAATTAATAAAAATACATATTCACATACTATCAGCAACAACGTTTTATGGGAGAGGACAAACCAGCTTCCAGCTGAAGAAATTAGAAAAAGACGTTGGAAGTGGATCGGGCATACATTAAGGAAATCACCAATGTGCATCACGACTCAATCCCTAACTTGGAATCCGGAAGGGAAGCGGAAAAGAGGAAGGCCAAAGAACATATTACGCTGGGAAATAGAAGCAGATATGAAAAGAATGAATAACAACTGGAACGAACTGGAAAGGATTGCTCAGGACAGGATTGGATAGAGAATGCTGGTGAGCGGCCTATGCTTTTCTACAAGGGGTAACAGGAGTAAGTAAGTACATATTCACATACCCCATTAGAGCACATTAAAAAAACTCTTATTCATTTTCTATACTAAATTCAACCTTCAAACATGTTTTGTAAAGACTTCCATATCTTCATGAAGAAGTTCTAAGAAGTTTAAAAATGCCTTCTTTGAAAATATCTACAGATTCTTATGTAATTTCTATGATATATTTTAACTCTTTTTCGTGCTGAACTATTATAATCAGAAGGGGTTTTGTGGAGATTTCAGTATTTTTCATGGTTGAAATCATGAGTTAATTGAAGCTGGACCAGTAGTCTATCGTTTAAGTGCTCTGGCGCGAGACTGGTAGGTCCTGGGTTCGAATCTCGCGAGGCGACGTCGTGGATGTGCACTGCTGAGGAGTCCCACAATAGGACGAAACGACCGTCCAGTGCTTCCAGGTTTTCCATGGTGATCAAGCTTCAATCGACTGATGATTTCAACTATGAAAAATACAGAAATCTCCACAAAAACTCTTCTGATTATAATCATATGCTCACCAGTGACTGACTTCAAGATACATGTCCTGGAGTTCTAGTGATAAGCGCTGAACTATTACTTTATTATTATTGCTATGAACAACTTAAAGATACCTAATTAGATAATCCTTTCAAACATTTGTCATCTTTCTAACTAACTACAGAGTAATAATGCATTTTTGCTATTTTCAATAATGCTATCATCTTTGTGACATTGTTTGCCATAATTAAAAATCCTTTATCTGCAATTATAAAGGGAAATCAAATTCTGTCTTTACTAATCCTATATATATCTTGAGCTTGAAAAGATAGCAGTAATAGCAATGTACTCAGTAAAACGTTTATTCCGATAGGACCGTACATCTTTGGAAATGTTTTTAATGAAATGGAGTAAGTGGTGTGAAAGTATAACTTTTGGTACTATCATATGAAGAATTACTATTTATACTTTAATTCGTAATTATTTCAGTATTTATATATTCTGTTTCCGAGCTTACGTTTGACTCATAAACCGCTATCATATGACTTATTGTTCCAGATTCATAATTAATTATTTATTTCCCCATCACTTTAGTTTAACATCACTTATGATCAAGTCATGTGTATATTGTGTCGCTGTTTGGTTAAACATTTCAGGGATACTATTGCATGAGTTCTGAGTCATGATTGAATAGAGTAAAAGCGAGAATGACCTGCTTCCTGTATTTATCTATTATTTGACGCTTCATTGGAAGGAGCTTGATGGCCAGTCAGTGTTAAGATCTTAGTTGCTTTTCATTGTTCAATGTTAGCGGGCTAAGAAAAGGACACCGGTTCTGCTTGCTATGTAGACGAGCTAATCGATAATGGGAGTAGAGAGAGATGATACATTTATTCTCCTGTAATCACTCCTTGATCGCACTAGCCGCAACATAATTTTAACCATCTATTTTTATTCGTTATATCAGTTTTGCGCCAAAACAAGAAAAATAAGTACGCTATTCACGGTAACTTGGTTAGACAAGATAGAAGGTATATACTGACAGCAGTTATGGAATAATTAGTCAAAACGTTTGGTCATTTCATTGGTTGTTTGTGGAAATGACATTGAATTATCGTCACTCTTATATTAAGTCTGAGAATGAGATGAAACAATCCCCAAATACTACCTTCATTTTTCAAAATAGTGAATTTCATTACTATATATATATCAATGTACTTTTATTTAATTATTTCAATTGACTATTTCATACTGTTTTTGTTAAACTGTACAATCCATAAACAAAATAATATTATATCCACTTTCAATGAATACGCTTGACTACCTTATTGACTAGTGTGACCTTTTTATTTCATTTGGTTATGTGGTTTAACTGAATAAAGATAAAAGTAACTTACAAGGCACATCATATCAAATGAGTCATAAGCGTAAAAAACCGACTCAACGGGTTGCTTTTTTAGCTTAAGGAGATGTGGAGACTATTCAAAAACCGAACTTTGTTGGATAATCATTGAAGATCAAGAAGCGCAGGACTTTGTTGCTATGCCCGTTCATCCTCTCATCAGGGATCGACACCAGCACCTTAAAGCTTTTCAGTAAACGTTTAACACTCAGATTATATCTTAAGTTTTATGCACTCAATTACTATTTGTGTCACAGACGTTATGAACTAGCGTCCTCAAACTCAAAATAATAAAATATTTAGTACAGTAAAAACTTTAATCATCATGCTTTCCTAAGTGTATATAAAGATCCATTAAAAGATAAATTGCTTTGTGCTATACATTAGTGTGATTCAAAATACGATAAACAACCGAAACTAATATGTCTTTGCGATAAGCATATGTTACCAAGACATAAGGTAACACACGTTCATAGAACTATAGGATGTAATACATATTGACAGATATAAGTAGTATGTAGCACTAATCGTAGGAGGAATGTCTGCCCTCAGAAAATTGAAATGAAGAGAACAAGAAGGAAATCGGAGGGCTAACAAGATAACAACACAATTAGAGGAATAATAAAAAATATAAAGGGGAAACCCAAAAAAAGATGTGTAAATGGCGTATTTAATATATGATTTTCAAATTCTGCTTAGCAACTGTGTAATTTTGCCTTTTATGATTAATTTGCCATCCCCACCTAAGTTCTTGTTCACTATGGCATATATATACGCATGTATAGTTAATGAAGTAATCACATATAAACCAAATAAAAATGATTAGACGTAATATTTAGCAGAAAAAAAGTGTAAATGAATTATTCTCGAAAGTAATCTTACTATTGACAAAAGTTACTGAATTTCATACATTTCATTTTGAAATACCAACTAAATGTATTTCAGATGTAATTTGTTTTCTGAACAAAATTTAAGTAAATTAATGAGTAGTATATTACTCTTTATTCGTTTAGTTCATCACTTTTCTTAATAATCATCCTAATTTTTTGATCTTCTTTTTCAAATAATAAAAATTGCAGTCCAATAGACAATGATTTTCACTTGTTTATATTTTCTATTTAATCCGTTGATCGAAACTTACCAAACTGTGCAACTTTCCTTTCAACTTGTGAAAGATATTTATCTGGTATACCAGCCTCTCTAAAATTTGAAAATGTTTTATTTTTTTTAATTATTCTTCTGTAGAACATTAAGAATTAAGATCAATAAAACAATAGGTAGATTAACTTTCGTGGATTATACAGACTATATTCACACACAATCTCTCTTTCGTAAAACCCTATTACCATTGTGCTTATTTACTTACTTACTTACTTATGCCTGTTACTCCCAATGGAACATAGGCCGCCAACCAACATTCTCCGACCCACTCTGTCCCGAGCCTTCCTTTCTAGTTCTATCCAATTTTCGTTCATTCTTCTCATATCTGTTTCCATTTCTCGGAGTAATGTGTTCTTTGGTCTCTCTCTTCTCGTTTAACCTTCAAGATTCCATGTGAGGGTTTGTCTTGTGACGCAGTTGGGTACTTCCCTCAATGTGTGTCCTATTCACTTCCGGCGCTTCTTCCTCATTTCTTCCTCCGCTGAAATCTGGTTTGTTCTCTCCCACAGTAGAATGTTGTTGACAATGTTCGGCCAACGGATCCAAAGTATTTTGCGTGGACAACTGTTAATAAACACTTGTATCTTCTGGATGATGACTTTCGTAGTTCTCCTCGTTTCCGCCCCATACAGTAGAACTGTTTCGATATTTGTATTGACAATTCTGACTTTGGTGTTAGTTGACAACTGTTTTGTGTTCCAGTTGTTCTTCAGTTGTAGATGTGTTACTCTTGCTTTGCCGATCCTCGCCCTCACATCTGCATCAGATCCACCGTGTTCATCAACGTTGATGCCCTAACATGTCAAGGTTTTAACATCCTCCGAAGCCTCTCCGTCAAGCGTGATTTGATTGATGCATGTTGTGTTGTATCGGAGTGTCTTGCTTTTCCCTTTGTGTATATTGAGACCTACTGCTGCTGAGGCTGCCGCTACACTGGTCTTCTCCTGCATTTGTTGTTGCGTGTGTGATAGAAGAGCCAGATCGTCTGCGAAGTCTAGATCGTCCAGCTGCATCCCAGCTGTCCATTGTATTCCGAGCTTCCCCCCAGATTTTGAAGTCTTCATGATTCAGTCGACCACCAGCAGAAAGAGAAAGGGTGAGAGTAAGTAACCTTGCCTGATACCGATCTTTACCTCAAACGAGTCAGTGAGTTTTCCTCCATGTACGATTTTGCAGTTTAATCCATCACTGGAATTTCGTATGATATTGACTATCTACTCAGGCACTCCATAGTTTTGTCCTGTACACGCTATCAAATGCTTTCCCGTAGTCAATGAAGTCAATGTAGAGTGATGAATTCCATTCAATCGATTGTTCCACAATGATCCGTTGAGTTGCGATTTTGTCTGTACACGATCGATCCTTACGGAATCCAGCATGTTGATCTCGAAGTTGGGCGTCTACAGAGTCCCTCATTCTGGTAAACAACACCCTGTTGGAGACTTTTCCTGGTATTGAGAGAAGAGTGACACCTCTTTAATTCTCACACCCGAGATCGCCTTCCTTTGGTATCTTGATCGGAAGTCCTTCTTTCCAGTCTGTTGTTACTTGTTCTTCTGAAGAGAATGTGGAGTATCTTTGCAGTTACTGCTACATCCGCTTTCAGTGCCTCCGCTGGAATGTTATCTGGTTCTGCTGCTTTGCCGCTCTTAATTTGTCTGATGGCCATGCTGGTCACTTCAAATGTTGATGGGACAACATTTATTGGGAGGTCCATGGGTGCTACTTCGATGTTGTATGGGTTCAGTGGAGCTGGTCGATTTAAGAGTTCTTAGAAGTAATCCACGCACCTGTTTCGCTGTTCTTCAATGTTGGTGACTACCTTGCCTTCCTTGCTTTTCATTGGTCGTTCTGGCTTACGGTAATTTCCAGTGAGTTTCTTTGTTGTATCATATAATTGTCTCATATTTCCTACTCTTGCAGCCTTTTCTGCTGTCATTGCTAAATCTTCCACATATTTACGTTTTTTGGCTCTGATGCTCCTCTTAACCTGCTCATTCGCTTCTGTGTATTCAGCTTGTGCCTTGGTTTTCGCTGCTCTTCTTCAGCTGATATTAATTGCTGTCTTCTTGTTCCTCGTTTCTCCAATCTTATCCAGTGTATCAACAGTGATCTATTCCTCGTGATGGGGCTTCTTGTGGCGCAGAACCATCTGACATGTTGAAGTGATTGCCTCCTTGATCTCTTTCCAGTTGTTCTACAATGGTGGTTCTCTCTCCATTGAGTAGATCGTGAAAGGCCTGGAACCTATTGCTAAAGGCTTTTTTTAATTCTTTGAGTTTTTTAGTATCCCGAAGAAGGGCCGTATTAAACTTTTTTAATGTTGTCCACTCTGTTGTTCAGTGCTTCTTAAGTTTTTATTTTATTTTGGCAATCAGCAAGTGATGATCTGAGGCTATGCCAGCTTTTCTCTTGGTTCTCACGTCCTCTATCGTCCTTCTGAACTTTGTATTGATGCAGATATGGTCGATTTGGTTCTGTGTAGTGTAGTCCCGTGAAGTATTATCATTGTGCATTATATACTTAAGACCTAAGGCAATCTATTTTGTTGAAAGCAGTCATGAATGTGTGTACGTGACAGTAGCTGGCATAAAACACGAAAATAATAATTACAGTCAACAGTGTTGGTGTGTCAGTGGTTGTTGTTGTTATTTTGAATAATAAATGACGGTCATTATAATACTTAATTAATACATAGAATATTTTTCAAAATTTTGTTTGAGATAATTTCAGACAACGTATATTAATTAGTAGTGGTTATTCAATGGATTCGTGAATACAGAAAATATGTATCTATTTAATGAGCCAATACATATTTACATTAGTTAATTCAGCTCTCAATATTGATAAACAAAGAAATAGAATACCTTACAGCTGCTGGTAAATATCAATTTATTGGCTATCGTTACTCACAGGTTTATTGGACTACCGTTTTAGGGTTTGATGTGATTATTAATAGTTCGTAGTATACTTGTGAACGCCACCACGGGACGAGAGTAAATTCAGCTGAATAACCACTAAAAAACGACGAAGAACTCCAAAATTCCAATACTATACACCATTCAAAGTGTATTTCATCACATTGATTTTACTTTAAACAAGCATTATAAATGCAAATATTGTCCGCTTTAACTTACATTAAGACAAGTAAAACTAACTAGGATGCAGGTGTATGCTTTTAAGAAAGACATACAATGTGGTGAGAAACACTTCTCGCGTTCCTCTAATAACCAATAACATAACAGAACTACTTACTTCAACTCCTTTAATTTACGTGTTTTTGCTTCGTTTAAACGCAAACGCCGTAACCTTGCTTCTTCATTTAATCGCAGACCTTCTTCAAATACTGCATTTCTTTCTGCAATGCGTTCTCTCTCTTTTTCACATATTTGAAGGCGAAGATCTTTTAGATTTTGAAAACTCTTCTGTTTAGCTTCATATTCAGCGCGTTTATCATTTTCTACAAGTTCTTGTTGACGTCTTAAAAAGTATATAAATTAAAGTAAAAATATTTCTTATCCATGAAGCCATTTTTTTAATGATAGCCAATGGAAATAGTTAATCTAATTAAAAAACATCGTGGATCGTAATGTTAATGTTTCTGTTTATGATAACATATAACGTGTATTTTTTACTAACTTACTGGCTTCCAATTATGTGAACCTTTTTGGGTTTTTTTATGATTGGGCGTATTTGTCTCAGATATACACTATTCTTACGAGTATCAAAAAAGTTAGTTGAACAGTGAATTATTCATCCTCAGTATTCATTCACATGGCATATGATCATCTCTAAAGTGAGCAATGGATCAGTGACTTTATGTGACATAATTTGAAATGAAAGTCACTACCAATATTGCATTAACTTTTTATTTCTTTTTAATAAATGAATATTTTATTATCTTACGCTTATTTTATAGCAAGCTTCTCATACTGTCTTGTTTCCCAATTACTTTTTATTATTTTTGTTGCTCTTATTGTATTTTAAATGAAATCAACAGACGGTTGAGTCAAATGAGGAATATGAAGAGGTTCAATAATGTTAATTGTCGTTGTCCTTGTTTCATATTTTACTTAGAATCTTGAACGTTAGTTGATATTTTACAAATAGGAGAAAAAGAACCTTACTGAGGTAGAGTGTAGTATTGTAATCTTATCCTTTAGAATAATACTATTTGAGATCTTTAATTATTATAAGTTACAATTTCATTAGGGTGGAATAAAGTTTTAATTTATTGAAATGGCAGTTTATTCATATGAAAATGGTCGTTTAAAAGAAGGAAAAGATATATGACCTCAATAAATTATGTTTCAAGAGCCTGTTTTTAGTTTGCATTTCTGGTGAATAAAATGTTTCATGATCAATCATCCCCAAAACTATAATCATTACTGATTTCCTCACATTACTTAACCACGAAAATCTTAATTTTAGAGTTTACCTACATAATAAGTTTCAGTAAACTATGCGGTTGATGAATTAAACATTGAACCGAAATTTGATGAGCTTTTGGATTCAAAACCCACTTGCAAACTCGAAGGATTAATGTTGGAATGTAGTTACGAATGAAGTTATGAGGTTAGTCATTTTGTTTATACGATACCATAGGGTGTCATTTTTAAACATTTAGAAATAAATTTGTGCATGTTCGGCATATGTGAAGATATAGTTATTATTTATCAAACAATCGTATCTACCACCTAAATAAAATAGCATAAAGTGCAAAATCGATTGTGTGAAACAAAATAATTTACTTCAAAATTCTTTGAAATTCAACTCTTTCACGACCAGCTTCAATTGCTAACTGACGTTTTCTGTCTTCCGCTTGCGCTGCTCTAGCTAATTTCAATTCATTTTCTGTTTCAATCTTTTTCTGTGCAGCTAATAATTCTTTACGTCTCCATTCTCTTTCATTAGCTTCAGCCGCGCGTTTAGCTCTCAGTGCATCACGTTCTGCAGCTTCATCCGATGCTCTTTCTTGTAATGCACGTAAACGTGTAATTTCTAGTTCTTTCTCATGTTTTATACGTAGTTGTTCCGCTTCATAGGCAGCTTCACGTTCCTTTAATTGAGAAAAGAACGTTAGAAAACACATTCATGAATGGAATTTCATATTTTTTCTTAAAATTATAGTGTTTATAATGGTTTTATGATCAGAAATATAATAAAACAAATAAGTTAATTAAAGCTGTTTAGCAAAGCATGTTGTTTTAAAATTAGTAAATAACGACACGGTTTCTAATTATTCAGTGAATAGATCAATTGTGAAAATCTCATCAACAGTTTATCTAAGATAAAATCTGGTTTTTGAATGATTTGATGAAAGTAACAATAAGAGTTAATTAGATCCTAATTAAGTATCGTTAATCTTCCTATTTTATTGCAGCAAACTTCACCAGCTGACATAGATAAACACATCTGAATCTTCTTAGGGGCGAATCGGTATAAATTTTTTTTAACTCTTAGAAAATGTTCCATCAATTTAATTCAACATATATCCGAAAATATTATTTCCAAATACTCACATTTATCATACAACAAAGTCGATGGTCAAGCGAAAAATTGTTTAGCAGGCTAGGTAATTCACAAATATTCATAGATATTCACTATTTGTTTCTGACTATTAAGTATAGAATCATTGTAGTTTATATAAAAAAGGATGACAAGAAGGTAACGATCCTTATAAGCATATTAAGTATATGTTGTACTCATTGTCTGTGAACTGTTAGTTTTGTTCAACATTATTTCTCATTACTTTGACATGGAAAAAATGAGAACTATCGAACGACAACATTACTTTACGCTTTATGATTCAGTTAACAAGAAAACATTCCAAATTAACTGTTATATCCATTTCAGTTAAACTTGAAGTAGTATTTTCTATGATTTTACACATTTAAACAAAAACGTATTTGATACGTATCATGATTTTGAAAAAAACGAATGTTCATAAAATTTATTTTTTGGATGTTGGGAATTAAGAATTATTACTAATGTAATGAACGAAGACTTCGTGGGGAAAAGCGACTCACTGTTTTATACAAAAAACAGTGCCTTTGTAAAATAGGAAAATCATACATCATTTGCATATCTTTTTTCAGTTGTTCTTCACATACTTCATCATCCTTTCGATCATGATGTTATTCTGACTGCTCGTCGTTTCCCTTTCTCCTATTTTTATTTCAATGTCCTACTGATAAGCATTCTACTTCCAATTCCTGCTAAATACTACTTATGTCTGCATGCATAAGTAGTGCACACCACACCAATAGCAAGAAAATTAAAAGTAAGAAATTCCTTATTTAAAATGTTTATGGTTGAGTAGTCCAGTTGCTTGGTATTTTATAAGTTATGGCTGAAAACAAAAGCCAGTGAAGAACTTACTGTAGTTCTGTATTATATTCTTTATCAACAATAATATACACCTACAAATTGAAAAAATCAATTTCTATTGATTTTTTACTAGAAGTAAATCTTTACCATCCCTTAACCTCTTGTTATCATTTTCCAAGTTCTACCTCATTATATCGATGTAAACTTTTTCTTCTTAGAACATTTCGCTTAGTCCTTGTGTATCAGCTTTTACAGTCCTTGTTCATACAACACAATTTCATTGTGAGAGAATAAGAATGCATAAATACAAATTGATTATTTACTAGCTGTTTCTAGAAGAACTTACATATCTTATGTAAAATGATTTCATTAAAAAATCAATCATGTTTTCATGCCAATAAAAGATGGTTTATGGAGTAGTGGCTTACTGCTTTTTCATTTTGAATTTGCATTATTTTCAAATCCATTAAACGATCTTTTTCTTTTTCAACTTCTCGTCGTTTTCTTAATTCATCATTAGCTATATTAAGCTCAATTCTCATTTTTTCTTGAATTTTCCTTTTCTTCTCTCTATTAGCAATTTCTTTCATATTCTCTTCAGCTATTCGTTGTGTCGCTAAAATATTCTCCTGTTCGGTCCGTTCTAATTCCATCAGACGATCTTGTTTGTTCTCCTCGATTTGTTCTAAAACTCTGCAAGCTCCAAGAATTTCCTAAGAAAATTCAATAATAATAATAGATTTCATAGAATTATCGAAAACCATTTCAATTTTGGTAAGCAGAGATGGATAGTGGCTAGCAGTGGAATCCAGGACGCGCGTTTCGTCCTATTTGGGACTCGTCAGCTGGATGTACCTGCATCTCAGAATTGATGTTCACTCTGGGACTCGAACCCAGTACCCTCGCTTCAAACGCCATCGCGTTATCCACTCGGCCACTGAGTCCTGATAGCCACTTGCTTGTGCGATGGGGTGAAGTTTGAATTCACTTAGTATTGTTTGTTTGGATCTTCCCATCGATGTGTTTAGGATTGCAACTGGTCAGTCTCTAATTGGCATATGTGCATACTGTGCGTATTGCCTCGATATACCTTAATTCACAAGCATGGTAAGCAGAGATGGATAGTGGCTAGCAGTGGAATCCAGGACGCGCGTTTCGTCCTATTTGGCCGAGTGGATAACGCGATGGCGTTTGAAGCGAGGGTACTGGGTTCGAGTCCCAGAGTGAACATCAATTCTGAGATGCAGGTACATCCAGCTGACGAGTCCCAAATAGGACGAAACGCGCGTCCTGGATTCCACTGCTAGCCACTATCCATCTCTGCTTACCATGCTTGTGAATTAAGGTATATCGAGGCAATACGCACAGTATGCACATATGCCAATTAGAGACTGACCAGTTGCAATCCTAAACACATCGATGGGAAGATCCAAACAAACAATACTAAGTGAATTCCATTTCAATTTGCTTCCACCTATGACTGTATGATAACGTTCCTGATATCAGGATTCGCTGAAATTCTAAAATTTTATTTTACTAAAAAACAGTCTTATAGTGAAAAAATAAATCATATAAAATTCATATATCATTTGGAGTAAACTAATGCAACTCATAAGATTCCAAACAAATTAGAGTGAAAGAATAAACCAACTGTTCGGAATCTTAATGTTAAAACTTGGGTGTTACTTATTGATCATGAAATTGTAGGAAAGATTTTTTGTTCAGAAGGGAAAACTCATTAGTGTTGATATATTTGAAGTGAAAAGTTCACCTATTAAGCTGTCATTATCTTCACATATGTAATCATAAGTACAAACTTTCAAAAAAATGTGCGCACTTTGATATTTCGTAGAATATTCTTCTGAAAACGTGAGAAATAATAAACTGCTATTCATAGTTTTATTATAGTTGTCTAATCAGGCGTTTAAAGGGCTTGGTTTAGGTCTCTTAGGTGGTGTCAAGTCGTTAAAAGAATTCAACAAGACAGCCAAAACCACGGTTCTGTATTGGGTGACAATCGTTAGCATGTAACATCTGTGACCTAGAATTAACTGAAATTTCGATGGAATTCAAACACGTGTCACTTAGTATCAGAATCAATGAAGTTACCACGGAGAGAATCACTCCCCTTCAAATAACAGGTACATCCTGCTGAGGACTGCTGATTAGCATGAAACTTAGGTTTCGGGTTTCCTATCCCCTGGTCTGATCATTCATGTATAGAAACAGTTCATTCGATATTAGATAGCTTAAAACACGCGTAAATTTAAACGAAAAAGCTTGATAAGTAAATATATCTAGATGAACATGATATTGGTTGTTACTTAGTGACTAATCAGTGTACATAACTGAACAATGCGGACGTCACTTAACAGCTTATTATTTTATTCAAGTTTATTATTTGGATAGCTGAGGTTTTTGAAAATTTTCTCTCCTCGTTTTGAGTATAATCTCAACGAATTATTTTGATGACTTTTTATTTTGCTCTTCAAATTTGTATCAGATACTATTGGGCTTATGCCACTAGCAGCTTGAAAATATCAAACTAAATAAAATAAAATAAACAGTTGTATAAGGAAATAAGTCTTCTCATGTATCAAAATTAATGTCCATTATTACCACTGAAAACGTTACAGTGAATTATAGACTAAGTAATCAGTTATTTACATGACCTCAGAATACACTCGCGAGTAAGTTGTAAACATGATGCTTTCGGTGTTTTTTTGGAAGTTTCGAGGGTTTTTTAAGGAACTGTAACTTTTTCGTTGTTATTCATGCACACAATTATTTATGTAAGATATGGTCTTCCGCTAAACATTTGGGCGAATTTTTCATTGCATTATTATAACTTTCACCATGTCTTAACTGCATTTATTCTCACCATTAATCTCACAATTTCGTTTAATATACAAACCTATTTAAGTTAACATTGAATATTAGTCGACTCGACACTAACTTTTTAATTTTATTTGACAAACAATCGTAAATTCACATGCTATAATTTTGAACGATGTATTTTTCTAAAGCCTGACCACTATTTGGATTAGTAATTGCAGAAGCCAAAGATGATATTACAAAGAATATTACTCGTTCATGTATTAGTGTTTCCATCGTTAATCTGACATAAAAGGGGGTGATGTTTTGGTGTATTTCCAGGTTTGTGTTTGGGAAAATGTGATACTTTTACAACCTACATATATTTCATCGCATTTCTAGGTAAGCGAAGTAATCAACTAATTTAGCGATTGTTTTTTGTATTTTGCTTCAGTCTGTTAGTATAAGGTGAGAAAAGCGAGATATGAAACTTGGATCCTCACTCTTTATTGAATCAGTTTTTTAAAATAGATATTCGTCAAACGGTTGTTTCATAATATCTCCATATACTTCTAACGGTAGCATATCTTTCCATTTATTGATTGTTGCTACACTATTTATCGTTCATAAATTCCAGTCATTTATAAACCTTTTACTCAGATTTGAATTAAAAATGCCCTGGTTATGCGTATGCTAAGGTTTACTAGACGTGTTGAGTTTTAGCTAAACGTTTTACTCACAATCACTTGAGTTATAGAACTATGATTTTACAGTATTCTGACTAGGGTTCTATGTAAGAGTGTATTTGTATACCACAATACTCAAACCTAGTTAGCAAATCAGAGGAGAACATAACAGCGGTTATTAAAGAAAAATAACTATACAATACTAGATAAAGTTTACCAATCGTGTTTTTCAAGTAATATGCTGATTTGAATTCACGTCATTAAACTCTGTCTTTACTAAAACGTTCAGTGATGGCTTTATCAGTTATTAAGCTAATAGCTTGTTCCACATTACTTTATGATATGTCGCTTTGTTAATTATGTGAATATCTGAGATATTGAAAAAGGCTGTGGATTATATCTACATCACGAACAAGTCAGCTAGATCGTTGTGAATCATTTAAAGGACTGGGTTTTTTAAAGAACGGAACAATATTGATAATGGTTATTTCAATCAGTTAGCCTACGAAAAGAATTTCCGAATCAATCAATAATAGAATTCAGATAAAGCTGGTACCTGATGTTTGCGCTTTTTTTCTATCTCTTCCTGTATGTGTATAGCGTTTTGTCTTTCTAACTCCATCATATTGTCTAAACGTAGTTCTTCTTCAGCCATTTCCTTCTTAATTAAACTTTTTTCTAGAATTTGTTCATCCCTTATTGCTTGTATTTTGGCATTCAATATCCATTCGTTTAATGCCTTTATTTCATCTTCTTGATCTTGCCGTTGTTCCAATGCTTTTTGTAACAAACTTTCTGCTTGTTTCTTTGCTTCTTCTTCTAAATCTGTAAGCCGTTCATTGCGCACACGATTTAAATCATATTCACGCATTTTCTGTTTACGTTGCTCTACTGCTTCCTACGAAAAAATAGTGAGAATCAATGAACATTAAACTTATTCTATGCACTAACGGTTAGATAAAAAGCTTACACCATTTGACATCCGAAACGTCAATTTTCTGTAGGGATTCTCAATACAGTTACTAGACGTAAATTAAAAATTTTATATTTACTTTGAATCTATAAGGATCATATCTGTTTGCTCCTAGGTTTTTCGCTCTTCGAAAAGCATTCTGTCGATCGGAGTACGTTGCACAAGTTTTGTGATTATATTCTAAAGCAAATAAAGATCACTTTATAAGGTTGCATCCTCGAATATCACATAGGCATACAAGCACATCCATGTGAAGGAAATTTGCTAGGTTTATATCAGTATTTTTATCTTAAACGTTATCACTTCACTTTTGAAGGTTTTTAAGCGTCTGTTCTAATACTAGGTGCGCACGATTATGTTGTTTTTCAGTGGTCATGTGAAAAATAAAAATTATTTAAAAAATTACATGACCTCACATGAGATACTAACAACAGTACGTAGTTGGAAACTATAAAACAATTCAACAAATAAGCGGAACTAGGTAACAAAGGACAATAATTTTGTAAGTAGTCAGATATTTCTGAATAATCATCAAATGATAGAAATTTGTGAACTATCCATGGCCGCTCATGTTGGACCATATTTTTAAGCTGCAAACTCGAATCTTCAAGGTGATATGTAACTGCATTGTATTTCACCAATGAAATAGTTTGCAAATTTCCAAAATAAGATCACTTCAAAGGTCAAAAAACATGACTGAAACATTATTTTTACTCAAATGATTGTAGTTTTAACATATGTATTTTGTATTCATTGTGATATGAAGCGGACACAGCTTTTAATATCTTTGGAAAGTTTTCTTTGCTTGTAAAATGGCTTTAGACCGTTACAATGAACGGATCCCGTACCACATTGTTAGTTTTGTTTAAAGATATACGTCATATATGCAAACAGAAGAAGGAAACTGTAGCAGTAAATGAACCCCAAAACTAAAGTCCTTTAGGTCTTGAAAACTGATGCTGACTTCAGAAGTTTTACTAGACACACCTCAGCTGAAGCTGCTTCGTCACGCATTCGGACCAGACTACGGGTGAATGCGCCGTGCTACTCATCCCTTGCAATGATTAGCTGGCTTAGCTCAGACACCCCTCACACACATCAACAACCTTTCTAGATATATATTTGGACCTATTCATTCCCGACTTCTGATTTAACTAGGTTGATATTTTTAGATTGTAAAAGTGTTGTGGACAAAGGCGTTGTCGAACCCTAAATATTTTAGGCCATTTTATCACTTTTACAGGCAAAATGAATTATTCTGCAAAGTTACTTTTGTATGCTCAGTTAACACTGAAAACGTTTACTTATCAATCATGCAGGAAGTAAACAACACTTTGTGCCTTCTTATTTATTATTAGTATGTTCTGAGGAAGTCTGAAGTAGCATATTTTCAGTTTTCCAATTTAACATCAGTCAACTTCAAGTTTAATACACCGATTTTCAATGCATATTTACAAACAGGATTCTTACCAGAATTGTTTTCTGTTCAGATTTTTCTTGATCATTAACTAATCGTTCCTCTTCATCTGTCAACAATTTAGCTTTTTGTAAAAGTTCTTTATATTTTCCTGTTGGTATGACTATTCTTTTCTTGTCAATGTAATCTGAAGGTATTCTGTGAAGCAAGATGAATCACGAAATTCCTTACATAAGATTACGAACTAAATCAGACGTGAGATGCCTTATTTTTTTTCTCTGTTGATTTTCTTTTTCTGGTCCACACTCTTCCCGTAATAAACCTGGTCTAAATAATTTTTGCCTTGTAATAATGATGTCTGGGTCTTTCGAAATACTATTATCCTGTTCCGTTAAACGACACTATCGGAGTTAAGCTTATTCTGAATTCGATTACCTGTCTTTCTTTCAAATACATCGGCACTCCGAATAAATCTTCATCAACATTGGAATGTCTACTTATTGTACGATATGATAGTGTTTTGGACCGTTTAGAATGCAATGAATTGGAAGAGTGAAAGCTCTGGCTACGTGTCCCAGCACTTATGAAGCTGCTTGCTGGCTAGAATTAAAATAGAATAAAACTTGAGAAACTATAATTTCATACCATCGTCAATTTCAGGTGTTGTTATGGTAATTAAAACATTTGAAACGGAAAAACAAAAGTTTTTCCATGTCTGCATTTACATTTTGTCAACTAAATACATGCACAAAGTAACAAATAGTAATATGTTAAGTTTGATTTTTTTATACACTTTATCAGGTTTCATATGATTGTAGATGGTGTGTACAACCATATCAAGTGAAATAAAATCAAATTGATTCCTCCAAGTAAAGGTTGTATAAGAAAGATTTTCCCAAAGGTATTTCATTATCTTGATGACGATCATTATTATTCTATCAAGTTGTGCTGAAAAACGTGAAAACAAGCGACTGTAGCGGTATATCTCTGAAATAAATAGTTATGTAAGTCTTTGGAGTTTGTAAGTCTGCCCTTATAGGAGTTTTGATCCATATTCATTGAAGAAGACCGAGGACTCACTAATTCTCCTGAACGTCGCAGTGACGTTCTGTAAACGGATTGAGCTGCAGTGTACCCAGTGCTAGCTTACACTGTATTGCGAATACCTTTTAACACGAGTGGAAGGGCATTGGTCCACTGTTAAATGTTTGCGGCTAACTTTGGAGCTTTCAACTGATGATACAATCGTTTACCAAGCCGTTTGCTTGTGGATGGTAGGCGGTCGTTTGGAAAACTCTAGATCCGAACTCGCCTTCACGGTCTGTAGTGATAGAAGGAGAGCAGCCGAAATTTTCTGTCCATCGTTCGACAAGGGTGCTAGCCCTTGTTTCAGCAGGAATGTCTTTGATGGGTACTGCTTCTCGCTATTGTGTGAAACGGTCTAAAAATGTTAAGAGGTAAGAGTATCCATTTGAATCTGGTATGAGTCCCACTGAATGTAGATGAACATGGTTGAAACGAGCATGGAGAGTTTTGAAAGAGCCTAAGGGACATTTGTTGTGTCTAATCATCATAGGTTTCTGGCAGCCTACACAGGAGATTGCCAACTCCCTCACGTCTTTAATTATAATAGGTCAACAAACTCGTTCTACAAAATGCTTGATGGATGCTCAAACACCTGGATGGGAAAGCTCTTGCAAGTATTTAAGATGTTGCGTCGATAATGTTTTGGCACGATTGAACGATCTTTACCTGTAGATGCGTCAGATAGTAAAGTTCCCTTACCTGTTTCCTTCTGTTTGATAAGTAGTTAAAATGTTGTGTTGGAGATCAGAGTTATCTTTACGAAGCTGGACGAGTTTAGACGGGTGAAATAGGTTGTACGAGAGAAGACATCTCTAACTACGATGATTTTCGCAGAAATGTGTTGTATGTTTGAAGTAAACCGGAAAATGTAGTCCAGTTGTCGTGACCTTCGAGGATAGTGCTTGTCTGAAGGTGTTCTTAGAGGGGAGGGGAGAGGTTTGCGATCGGTGAACAGAGGTTTATGATTAGTAAAATGGGTAAATTCTCAGCTTTTAAAAAAGTGTTGGAAGTGTCGAGCAGCACAATACATGGCTATGGGCTTTCTGTCTTAAGTGCCATATCGTTTCAAGAAGGATCCCAAAGGTTACTGTGTGCCGTTTACCCATTGTTGTAACACTCTTTCGATTGCCAAGTCAGATGCGTCTACTGGGATAATCATGAGTAGTTTGATGTCCTGGAGTGCGAGCACGATTGTTTTTGTGATAATTTCCCATACTAAGGAAAAGACCTTTTCCTTGTCGTCGTTCGAATCGATGATTTTCACATTTCCACAAAGTTAGTCTTTTAAGAGACGCATTGGAGATGCTCAATTCTGTATGAATCGTCAATACAGAATTTCCAGACCGTTGAACACACGTAATTGTTCGTTCGTGGTTGCTTCTGAATAGTTCAGAATGGCCTCGACTTTGCTTTCCAGGAGGGCATATGCCTTGAGCATCAATAGTATATCCGAGAAAATCCAGAGAGTCGGGGCGGACTCGATATTTCTGGATGTATGCAGTAATGTCAAGCTTTATCATCCGTTTGAATACAAAGTTCAGACGCTATAGTTGAGATTCTCTGTCCGGGTTTAAAATCGAGCGGTCATCAGTATATTCATGTGTGAAGTTGAGACCTCGAAAGACGTCATAGATGGATCTGTGTAATGTTTGGGCAGCAGTCCTTACGCCGAAAAGCGTGCGCGAAAATTCGCAGAGCCTGGAACAGGTTATGTTGGCTGTTTAGGGAATGCCGTTAGCAGCCATAGGAATTTGGTTATATGCTTTAACCAGGTCGATGTTTACAAAACAGTCGTACCTTTTAAGGTGGCTATCAGTTAGTGAATGTGAAGGAACAGAGAACGATCATTAATGGTTTTTGCATTCAATCACTGACACTCACCAGTTGGACGCCAATCATTGCTGTCGTTCTAGGGAACCGTGTGCAAGGGAGATGCCCATGGGTTGTTTGACAGCCGAATGACTCCTGTGTCTGTCGTGTGGTCGAATTCGTTTTTGGCTCATCTTAGCTTTTTGAGAGCTAACCAGCGCGCCCTCGAAAATACAGGTGGTCCTGTGGCAGTGATAAGATGCGTTGCATTGCTGGTTACGCACAGTATGTTCATGTTGGCAAATTTGCCAGGAGTCGCTGTCTATCTGGATGATGTTATCGTTACAGGTTCCAGTAAGTCCGATTTATTTGATCGACTTGATGCTGTTTTGACCAAAACATCTGAGTATGGATTTTATCTAAAAGAAGAGAAGTGTAAATTTTTCATGGACTCGGTAAAATATCTTGGGTTTGTTTTCGACAAAAATGGACGACGCCCAGATCCAGAAAACGTACGAGCTATCCAAAATATGCCTCCACCATCTAACGTCGCAACTCTACGCTCGTTCCTTGGTCTTATAAGTTATTACAGTAACTTTTTACCACAATTGCATCGCCTCCGAGCACCCATGAACCATCTATTATCCAAAAATGTAAAATGGAACTGATCCACTGAGTGTCAAAAGAGTTTTGACAAAGTAAAGTCACTATTAATATCGGACCTACTTCTTACGTATTTTGATCCCTCACTGGAAATCGTTGTTGCCGCAGATGCTTCTGATTATGGTGCCGGAGCTGTTATATCCCACAGGTTTCAAGACGGCACAGAGAAAGCTATAGCCCATGCCTCCAGAACGTTGACTTCGGCAGAACGCAAGTACAGCCAAATTGAGAAAGAAGGATTGGCACTAGTTTTTGCAGTTAAGAAGTTTCACAAAATGCTGCATGGTAGAAAATTTACCTTATTTACTGATCATAAACCCCTATTATGGATCTTTGGATCTAAGAAAGGTATACCAGTTTATACTGCAAATCGCCCCCAACGATGGGCTACAATGTTGTTGGGTTATGATTTCACTATCAAATACAAATCTACCTCTGACTTTGGTCATGCTGATGCACTATCGCGCTTAATAAGAAATCATAAGCTTGAAAATGAAGATACTGTCATTGCTTCTATATCAGTAGAAGAAGATGTAAGCAGCATGTTGCTCAATTCAACGCGAATTCTTCCAGTGACAGCTGCTCGAATCGCTGATCACACTCCCCGTGATCCTATCTTAAGGCAACTAGCTACATTTATCCGGAGTGGTTGGCCCCCACGTATAACATCTCATGAACTAAAACAGTATTATCAACGACGCCAATCTTTATCCATCGTAAATGATTGTATTATGTTCGCTGATCGCGTAGTAATTCCAAGTAACCTACGCCCACTCGTTCTGAAACAACTGCACACAGCTCATCCAGGTATTGGAAGAATGAAAGCTATTGCTCGAAGTTATGTATACTGGCCTAACATTGATGAACACATCGAAGACTTTGTGCGTGCGTGCAGAAAATGTGCTGCAGCCTCGAAATGTCCACGGAAAGCTGAACTCAATTCTTGGCCATTCCCGAAAGAACTTTGGTCGCGTATACACATTGATTTCGCCGGCCCATTTCAAGGTACATATTTCCTCATTTGTGTCGACGCCTACTCAAAGTGGCCAGAGATTCTATCCATGAAGCGAATGACGTCGCAAGAGACTATCATCGAGTTACGGCAGTTATTCTCTCGTTTCGGAGTCCCAGATATTCTCGTGTCAGATAATGGCACTCAGTTTACTTCTTCCATTTTCTCCGACTTCTGCAACAGGTTTGGGGTCAAACATGTTCGTTCACCTCCATACCATCCACAATCAAATGGTCAAGCAGAAAGGTTTGTGGATACCTTCAAAAGAGCACTACTGAAAACAAGGGGGGAAGGGAAAGTAAAGGAAATTCTTGATGATTTTCTGTTAGTCTACAGAACGACTCCAAATCCATCAGCGCCGAATAAATTGTCTCCAGCAGAAATTATGTTTGGTAGAAAAGTTAAAACTGCCCTCGATGCCATAAAACCAAAGCAAAATGGTGTAGGAAGAAGAAACCAGAAGATGGAATCTCAATTTAATCGCCACCATGGGGCGAAAAGTAGAATCTTCCGAGATAATCAAAAAGTATACGTCCGTGATTTCCGATACTCACCTCCACAATGGACCAGTGGACGCATACTTGGGAGACGAGGGAATGTAATGTATGTGGCGGATGTTGAAGGCCAAAAGTTTATACGTCACGCTAACCACATACTGGAAAGTTCTGGTACTCCTCAGAAAACCGAGAAAATGTGCTCAATGTGGGAAGTCTTCCTGGACAGTTTCGACATAGGAAGTCCAGCAACTAAGAAAACTGTACAACTGGAACAACATCCTATTAGGAGATCACAACGGAAACGCAGAAGGCCCGATATACTGCAGGTGGACCCGAAGAAAAGAGCATATACTTCTGAGGGGAGATATCAGTGATGATATCTTAGTTACTGTTTGTAATTAGTGTCTAACCGTTTTTCTTTTTTTGTTTATTCCAGTTAACCCAATCGGTCATACCACAACGCAATCCAGTTTTCCTTTATGCACTCAGTCAATGGCAGTGATAACATAACTTTTTTTGTCAAGGGGGAAGATGATGTGAACGGCAAAATAAGAAGCCTGAACAAATTACGGAAGCTATTCTCGGGGACGTTAATTCATTTAATTCAGAGCTTGTAAAACTGTAACATTTACTTTTGCCCCTAGCCTATTCTAGAGATCATAA